TTTTTTTTCGCAGCAGCGGGATTCAAGTTGTTCGCGATTTCCCTGTCACAGTACTATCACAAATTCGCTTCATGAAAATGCAAATACACGCTTGATTTCTTTTTATTATACTTTCAGCAAAAATAATACAACAAAGCAAGTGCAAAAGCCGCAGAGATTCTACATTTCGAACACTAATTTTTCGCGAACGTTGACACATTCGCAATTGCTAATACGCGAATACGCACTCGCTTAGTAAATGCATGATAAAAATGGACCTATCTATATGATACTTTAGATTGAAATTCACAATGCGCAAGTTTTTATAAACATTAATCCAGAATTGTTTTTGGATTTATTTTAATTCATTCAGACATTATTTTTTCTTTCCAGAGTGAGAGGAAAATTCTATAGAATAGTTTCGAGAATGTACAAATTTTACGATCAAAAATCTATAGGTGATAATTTGAGGAAACGTATTGTGATTTTCATCTACTACAACATTTACCTTCATTAACAATGCAAAACAAGTTAAAAATATTTACATTTCGAACAAAAACGAAAAAACTATTGGGACTTTAAAAGAAATACATATAATTCAGTTTATCTAGTTCATGTATAATCTGTCAATTTCAATCAATCGCAACACATATTAGAATCTTTATGCAAAAAAATAAATTTCTTAAAGAATGCCCAACACACGCCAACATACTAAATCTTATCAAAAATGGACTACAGTTATTATTTTATTCGAAAGGATTAAAGGCGCCAGAAGCCTAATCCGATCTTTCAAAAACTCTACATTTGACGCATTTAATTCCACAACACGAAGATACATCATGCAGAGTGTGTGTTATGTACGAAAACCAGTATAACAGGTAATAAGTGTTATTTTTTAATGACTCACTCAAATCATTTAGGAAGTTATTCTTTTAGCCATCTTAAACAACAGTAACTTTTACGTTTCAATTTTCAAAGTTGAATTTTATCGGGTATTTAAGAATTTGAATCACGAAGTTAGCTTTTTTTTTTAATCTATTAATAACTCTTTCACATTACAAAATTAATAATGGAAAACTCTATTCTATTGAAATAAAGCACCATTTATGACACAATTTATATATATGCAGTTTTCAATGTTTATACTATTCAGCTTAGAATAGTACGACAAAAATATTATTAATGTTTTTTTGAGACATTCAACCTTTGACACATGAAACTTAATTGACAGTTTTGGGACACTTTTTTAACTTAAAAAAATTAATTTTGGATAAAAAAAGATCAACATAAATATATAGAAATAAATAATTTTATCTTATGTAATTAGATTTAATGTTGTTAAATTCTTTCGTTTAATTGTTTTACAATCAGTTTCAAATAAATAGAGCTACATTTTTAATAAAGTTTACTTATTTTATGATTTAAAAGAGTAATTATGAGTTTTGCAGACAATTAAGTTGCTTCAGAATATTTCGAAAACACAGTTTTGCTTATAAAAATAATAGTGAGGAGAAAGATTAAAACTAATTACTTTAATTCAGATTAAATATTATTTTTGAAATCTATTTCAAATGACTGAAAATTTAGAATCAACAATTATTGGATGGTTCATTTCGTTTAGTATTAAAATCGTTATAAGCAATTAAACTATAAAGATAAAAACTTCTTTATTTAAAATCACTTAAATTTAGAGTTTTTTTTTTCTAATAAGGATTTTAGCACCAATAATTATCAGTTCTGTATTTTAGAGCACCAGATATTTTACCTAAATTAGTTTTACCCACTAAATTAATTTAAACATTTCTTGTAAGCTAATCCGCTTTTCTACTCATAAAAGATTTTATACGCTCTGCAGTTTCACTGTTGACAAGATCCGAGCTCTTCAACCCCCCCTGCTTCTGAATTCATGACGATTATAAGACGACACACTGCGACTGTAACGTTTGAAGAAATTTTTGCAGTTTTTCGTACTGTTTGGAGTTTTTCATAGAATTCAAACATTTTTATAAGGTTATTTTAAAGACTTTTTCAAATTTAAGGAGTCGCGTCATTACAGGTTTTTTTCGAGATCCACATTAATCCTTCATATTTTTCTGTTCGTGAAGTACGAAATATATTTTTCCCATAGATATTTTGAAGAACTGCGTCAATTCATAAGTAACAAGTAAAAGTAACTGTTATTTAAGATAGCATCCGTCTGAAAGTCATTGTTGGTTGCTCTTCCTAAACACTCGGGTGTTTAGTATTGTTTAAGCACTTTAGAAGGAAAATATAGTTCATTATAACAGATTTGAAACACATGTCCATCGCCTCGACAAGTATTCTCACTGATAAATGCGTATAAAGGAATTTAGGACATGAAATTTAAGGTCAGACATGTTTAAGGTTACGATCGAAGTTATTGTTTTTATTTTTTGAAATTCTCAACAAATCACACACACATACAATACTTTACAAAGAACACATAGACGCCATTTGACGAACATGACTTTTCTCTAAGTAAGCTAAGGTGTCAATTTGTTTTAAAGACAAGTGCATTATTATATAGAATGGCACTCATTCACGGTTTATGCGAAATACTTCCACATTTTTCTGCTACGCATTTTAAAACATACGGAGTGCACATTTTTTTTTTAAATATTTTTAAATATGAGGTTATGTACACATTATCATTTACACAGATTGTACAAAATGCTTTGCGGCAGTTTGTAGAAAGAAGAAATTTAAACCATTAAAAACATGAGTTGACACCTAAATTTCATGCAATGAGAAAAAATTGCTTTTGATACAAGTAAAGTGAATATTTATACATTATATATATAATATTGTATTTATATATAGATTCATATATTTATATAATATACGTCATTAATTTTTATTTACAGCAATTAAATATATGTGAAAAAGGAATGCTTTTTGGACCATTTGGGAAACTTTGTTCATATATGGATATCCAGGGAGCAGAGGACTAGTGGGGGAGAGGAGCGGCGAGGGGTCGGAAAACAGTTGAGTTTAGTTGTTTCACTGCAAGGATAAGAAATTTCAAAAGCCTTAACTTAGTTGGAAAAGATGAAATAAGTTTGTTATATTTCCATTGATTCCACTGCTAGGTATTAAATATTACTTTTCGTTAAGACAAAGAATAAAGGATTTCTGATAATAATTTTTTTTTTTTTAAAATTAAAAATACTGAAACTTTGAAGTATTTGTCTAGTACTCATAATTTAATAAAGAATATCTATTTCATTATTTGATAATTCTTAAATATTGCTTCATTCAAAAACAAAATAATGATAATTATTGGATCTAAATTGTATTTTACAACTAAAAGATAAGAAGTAGTAATAAAGAAAGTTAATTGTGTCGATTGGAACATTGCAACTTTTTATTTAAAGAATGTTTAGATTATAAAATAAATTTGAAATTATGATTGAAATTAGTTTAAATAAAAGTTGCAAATTTGAAACTTTTTAAATGATGTGAAACTTTTATTCCAGAAACTGTTACAACAGTAAGAATGAAAACATAAATTCGCATCATTTAAGAATCAAAATTAATTCATTCAATTACCACTATAAAACAAGACAAACAGGTAACAAAATTTACTAAATAATGATATGATAAAAACTAGCCTGACATAAAAAATAATTTTGTGATACATTATGAATTTTACAAAGCAATATTTTCAAAAAATAATACTTTTTTAAAATAAAGAAAATTGCTTATTTAGTAACCAATATAAATCAAACACTATTTTCAGTTGTATTCGAAACGCTTCATTTCGAGCCATGACAAAAAATATTTTACATCCATTTATGCACTAGATTTTCCACTGAGTTTCAACACATGTGGAATTTCCTTACGCACCATTCATATTCTTTAAATGGAAACTCGTAAGTTGAAACTATTCCTTCCATTCTCCATAGACATTGGTGAATCAGCAAAAGTAATATCGGGTTCGTAAAAGGTAGTTCTGTTTTGTGAACTCTCGCCGCTGATGTAGTGAGTTGAGTCAAGGTAAGGAGTTCTGCGCTTAGAGTAGTATTTACTTTAATTGACCTACAGTAGGAAGTTCCTCTTTTATTTGTTAAATATCACAATTCTTTCAAAAGGGTGTCCTGAAGCGAGCACCTCTACGGGATTCTATTAGTTGAGGTGGTGATGGACGTCTTTTTGAGAAAAAATTATCTGTCTCCAAATTTATCAGATCTGAAACAGTTGTAAAAGTGGTGATGGAAGTAAAAAATATCTTTTAATTAACTGAGCAGTTGTGTAAGCTATGTTGATGGTAGAAAAAATATCTGTTTTAAAGAATGAATGATAACTCAAGTTAGAAGAAGTTGTGTTATTAAAAAAGAATGGATCACGAAAATGAAGTGTTTAATGATAGTAAAATATGTGTCGCAAATGAGTTAAATGGTTCATGTCTGAAGCAGTTGTGCTGTGGTAGGAAATGGGATATAAAATAAAAAAATGGTGGATTATAGTGAAAATAGCTTCATTAAATTTCAGAATTGAAATAACTGCCTTCATAAAAAATAGTGGAAAAATGAAAATGAATAATGATTATTTCAGAAAAAAATATCTGTCTCGTATTATTTAATTACGGCTCCTGTCGGAATCAGTCGTGTTGTTTTAATAATAAAAAATATACTATGAAAGTTAAAACTGTTAATTATAGCGAGTATGATCAATTGCAGTGAAAATAATTTAGTTTGCAGTTGGAATTCAATTTTGAAACAGTTTTGTTATTCGGACCGTCATAGTGAAAAGTGTTGCTGAGTAATTAATTAATTAAAACACCCAGAATAGGAATTGTATAAAAAAAAAAAAGATTCCAGTGCAGAAAAAATACCACTCAGGGCGATTTTTGAATTCGAACATTGGAACGAAAGAGTTATATTTTATTTAAAGTTCCTCTAATACGCTTTTTTTAAATTCAAAATTAGTTCTGAAATAATTTTGTCATTAAATAAATCTGAATTAAGATTATAAAATGAATAAAGTGAATTATGCACGCAGTCATTGCTTTTAAAAAAGTAGATTTTTTTAAAAAATTTATAAGAGAAATTAAAATGTTAAAAAATAGTATATATTGATAATTCAGTTAAAGGTTTTTAGATTGGGTTGATAATTCATTGAATTTTTATAATTCCAATAAATCTTATAATTCTCTAAAAGCATTCTCGAATAATACTTCAATAATTGGATGTGTTCGCTTTGCGAATACACTATAGGCATAAATTAAGATCAACAGAGATATGAATCAATAAGAGAGTAATAGAGAATACTATATTTAATTTGATACTATATAGTAATAATGCTTACGAGTACTTAAAGAATAAAGTTTTATTTTCTGAAGCATAAATGCAAGCAAAAATGTTCTATAAGGGTATGCAAAAACTATTTTAAGGACGTCAAAATGTTCCAATTCATAAGTGTATGTAAAAATAATCGATTTCATAAATTGATGTAAAAATAATTTATTTCATAAATAGGTGAAAAAATATTTAATATCGCAGCGCGTGTAAAAAATGTTCAAAATCAATAATTAAGCAGCCAAAAAAGAACTGTTCTGATCAGGTATTTTGAGACTGATAGTTTTTTCTTGTTTTTCGATGTCCATGAGACCACCGGAATCGACCACTAATTTATTCGAAAAAATGTTATAAAACGTTGAAGATTAATGAAGGAGCAAACATCCTCGTTTTGTTTAGTTTGGAAGCAGCAACAACTTCTTTTTTTTTTCAGAAGAAAAGTCCAACAGTTTGTATTGGAAAATAAGTTCTTAATTCTCCTCTAGGTGAGTGCAGTCTTCAATTAAGCACTTATGGCTAACACAGGGCTGAAAGAGAAGAAGAAGATGTTTAAAAAGAGGCTAAAGGAAAAACACAGCGTGAATAAAAGTACAGAAATGGATATGCTCAGGGCTTTCAACCCTTTGAAAAAATGTTGGTAGCCGAAAAAATAGAAGCACCTCATCCGCTTTACCTCTTTGAAATTTCGTGGAAAACATTAAATCAAATGCTTATTAAAATACTTATTACGACATAAAATATTAGAAATTTTTCAAAATAAAATACCAAAATAATACAAATCTTCAGATGCGTAATATAAACAGATATGCGCAATTTCAAAATATTATATTTTTGCAACTAAATACGTATATTATCTTAGAATTTGCGGTTACGCTTCATAAGATTCAAGTTCGTTTTTTTTTTTTAACGCAAATTTACAAAGTAAGGAGCAATTTTGGCAATTCGTCCGAGTCTGCGGTACCCGAAAAATTTCGGAGGAAAATTCTGAAATTCTGAACTTTGCACAAAAATGACGCTATTGCTGTGAATAAAAACAAATATTTCCTCTTATTAGATATTATCATGATATAACATATTATTAGTGAGATATTATTAATGCCAGGTTAATTTCGAAAGTTAACTTTTTGATGCAGATGTTCGATTTCGTTGTGAATTTTTTACTGTGAATGACCAAAATGAGTGGTTGTTGACTATCACGTGGTCGCCTTTGGTGAAATATATACCTGGTCTAGTTAAGTGCTACTGCCCGGTATACCTTAAACCAGGGGTGTCAAACTCGCGGCCCGAGATCAAAATTTTTGCGGCCCTGTCAATATGTCCGACGCAAAGTAAAAATAAAATAGAAATATTAATTAGAATAGAAACTAGCATATAATATTATAATATACTTTATTTATAAACTATACGGATCATTTTAAATTGTACGCGCAAAAATGTAAAATTCTAATTGGCTTGCAGCACCTCTCATTCCAGGGAAACTGCATCGTATCAAAAATACGCAGAAAAAATTTCTAATCTTAGAACAGAATTTGAAACAAGGTTTAAAGATTTTAATTCTTTGGAAGACAAGTTTTGTTTGTTTTCTTCGATTTTCTCAATAAATATAGACTCAGTACCCAGTAATATGCAAATGGAAATGATTGAGATTCAGTGCGACTCAAATTTGAAGACAAAATACATTGATGTGGGTGTGCCTGAATTTTACAAATACTTACCTGCTAAGTTTGAATATACTCGAAAATTCGCATATGAAAATTTTTCCATGTTTGGAAGTACTTATCAGTGCGAGTAATTATTTTCTGTTATGAATGGAAATTAATCTCCTGTCCTAAACCGTATTAATAACGCTCACGCTGGGCCAATTTTGAAAGTAGTCTCGGCCAATAAAATTTCTCCCAAACTAGGAAAGATAGTAGCAGAGAAGAGATGTCAAATATCAAACAATAATTTTACTTTATATATATTTATTACAATGTACTATAGAAAATAAAAATATTTGTTTCCTTGAACACTAATATTTTTTTTTTTGCGGCCCACCTAAAGTTAAGCATTGTTTATTTGGCCCAAGTTAGGTTTTGAGTTTGACACCCCTGCCTTAAACTGATGTTTTTTTTAAGGTTCAGTGCCACTGCCTGGTATTTATTTAGACGGCATGCCCTACATCAATGTTTTCTTAACGTCAAGTGCCACTGCCCAGTATGCATTTAATCGGTATTTCAAACACTGATGTTTCTCCCAGCCTATCCTCAGAAGATATTAAAATATCGAATAAATGTAATGTTGTCAACGAATAAATTAATATCAAATCGGATATGGCAAATGTTACAGACATTAACCAAAGTGACTATAGGATATTGTTGACATTCGCCGGTGAAAGTCGACATTCTCTTGATTTTCGTCATTCACGGTAACAAATTCACATGGTTTTTTTTTTAAATAATTTTTTTCGGCTATTATACCCATGGATTTCAATGCAATTTTTTTAAAATGCCGATATTTTTTTAAATGAAACTATTATTGACTCAAGAATCTCTTGAACATGAAATTTTATCTTTATCTTGAATTGCGAACATGAAATTTTATCTTTAAATTTTCGAACACGTTAGTTCGAATTTGCATTGATTATCAACTTGATAAATCAAGGGTTAACTATTGCAAATCCACAATTATTTTTATGCATTTCATCATGATTTTTTAAATGATCTTTAAACACGATATTATAGCAAAACACGGAATTAGAAATTTAAGGAAAACGCGATAGTGCGAATACAAGGAAAATTAGGATTTTTTTCTCCGATAATTTTCAAAAACACGGGCAGAAACGGAAAAAATATCGTTAGGGCAACATAAATTTTAAAATATTAAAAAATTTTCAGTTATTAATTAAAACGCTAATCATATAGTCACCACTCAAAATTTACGAGTCGCTAATAGCGACCGTATTTTAGTAGCCCTAGATAAATATTTCTCAAAATAAGATCAGTATTTAAAACACCAAAGACAACAATGTTAGATTTCAAAGATTCAGAAAGAGCAGATTCCGAATTAAAATCAACAGTATTTGCAATCAAGTATGAGGAACTGAGTCGATCAAATGTGTAAATTGAGAAGTCTAAATTTAACAGCTCTATCGATGGGAGACTTGAATATGAAGGGTCGGGAGGTTAGAGAAAAATAGTTAAGAGCATTGAGTTGCTTATTATCATTTGGTGTTTAGACACTGAAGAAGGGTCTTGTTCAAAGAACAGAAACTATAGTATGTTCATTTCTGTACTTTTATTCGTGCTTTATTCACGCTGCGCTTTGCTTTAGTTATATAAGATGATTTGATTGTTAGAAAAATTTGATACATGAAATTGTTATGTTAGGCTAGATTTCAGATTAAATTGTCGCACTAAAGAGGAAGGTTACATAAGAAAAAATGAATAGAATTGATTGATAACTTGCACAAAAAGGTTATGTTAAACAAAATGATTGACTTTAGTTGTTACGTTAGGCACGAAGGTTATATTTCACAAAATGGTTAGATTTGATTGTTACATTGGATAAGGAAATTGTATTAGGCAGAATGGTTAAACTTTAGTGTTTACATGAGACAAAGAAGAATTTATTTGCAAAATAATTTGATTTGCTGTTGCAGTAAAGAAGAGGTTATGTTAGATTAAAGAATTATATTGTTATAATAGAAAAAGAGGTCAAATCGGATAAAATGATTAAATTAATTGTTGCATTAGGCAAGAAGGTTGTATTAGACAAAGTGGTTAGATCGCTACATTAGATCTTATAAGAAAAATCATTATAATTTATGCGTAAAACTAATCTCGTATTGAATGAAATCGACATTTTCAACCAAAATGATGATTGCAGATAAATTAATTTTAATAAGTATATTTATCTGAGGGGGTATAATTAAATAAGCTTAAGTTTTTTAAGTTCTAGCTTTGGAAGTTTTCCTTCTTACGAAAAATAAGCACATATTAGCATTATTTTTCAACGCTATTAATTTTTGTTTTAGATCTTGGATTCATATTTATCAAAGAATATTTACACAAGCATTAGGCATTTCTATCGTTTATTTATTCATTTACTGTTTTATGAAAATATAGAAAGAGAAAACATTATTTTAATAAGTTGCGAATATATAGTATGCGGTGTTGGCAATGGATGCCAACCATTGGTCAACTAGTATCTGGTAACTTTAAATTTTTATTAAATTGTTTTTTCCTAATATTTTTAAATCGGAGCATTGATGCGACATACTTTTATCACTGTTTAAAGTTTTGATAGTTTCTATATTACTTCTCAAAATTTCCGTTATTAATTTATGAGGCAAGATTTTATACCATAGAATATAGCCATATTGAAATGAATTACTTAAAACTACTTGTTTATGATTCATGCAAAAGCAAAGGATACTAGAGGAAGTGCACAGCTCATGTCTAATTATCAAATTTCTCCTATGAAACAGTAAAGACTTCATGTAGACTTCTGGGAAGAAAATTAAAATTTTGCATCCATTTCTTTTATTTCAATAAGGATGCAAGAATCACAAAACAAACATATACGGTACATCACCATTTAAGAGTGGCAAGATTTGGAGGGAATATTACACAAACAGAACAGTTCCTTTAGAACAGCACACTGTTAGAATTCTGAAATTGCGGTAAAATAACCGGCAGCAGTCTGTCCATCCGATTAACCATAAAGTTTATGGTTAGGTCAATTTTTTTAAGCTTTTACGGTGTTGAAAACGTTTACAATTGGTACGGGTAAAAAACCGTGAATACAAAACTACAGGGTTTGTTACCATTCACAACTTGCATAGTGTCTAAACCACAAGAATAAAACTTAAATGGATATTGGAGCTTTGCGGGTGATGCTCCATTTATGCGTGAATGATAGTTTCGTGTTGTGTTCTGATAGTCCACGAGCGATTAATTTTCAAAGTGGCCGGATCGCGCTATTAGTCAAAAATGACATCACAATGTGTGGGAAAGAAGATGGCATGTATTGGCTGGCAATTACTTAACTTTGGCTGCACATTTCATTTTCATGTGTGCTCTAATTTTATTTCATTCTTGTAAACGTTTACGTAATATCAGTATTAAGTTTAATTTCAACGACTTTTGAATGTAATAGAAATTATCTTAAAATTGTATGAATTGTAAATATCATTACTTTCGCACAATTATAATAATTAAAAGAAATATTTATTTAGTCGTATGTATTATACATTCTAAACATTTGTTACAGTGTTGTTTGTTTGCTCTAAACACTTGCTACATTGTTGTTAGTTTGTTCTAAACATTTGTTACATTACAGTTAACAATTTGAATATAATTTTTCGTATGGTTATTTGACTGTTGTGATTAAAAATGGTAAAATAACAATGAAATAAATTGCTATTTAACCATTTTTACTGAAGAATTTCTAACAATGTAAGAAGAAGTAAACAACTGCTTTACTTTTAAGAAAGTAAGTCATTGACAACTTGCTTACGCATCAACTTTATTTTTATGACGGAAAGTTTAATTTACGAAGAAATAAGAGTATAACCTATAAAATGAAACACTTTCTGCCATACAACAGAGTTGTATCAAAATGAATCGCTCTTTGACATTATGCATAATCAAATGATATCAGATGAATAGCACAGTTTCTGTTAAATTCACCAATTTATTTTCTAAGTTATTTTTTGAGAAGTAAATTTTAGATTACTTAAAAAAAATAGTAATCAAATGTAAAAGTAGTTTCTTCTTGTTTAGGACGTTTTGAGAATCCACGATCTCTTTAACTTGGTTTTAGCTATCGGCCCGACCTCGAGGCCACAACAACAAATACACAACAACTTTTAAAAAGTAAATCATTGACTTACTTGTTTACGACTCAAATTTATATTTACGATTGAAGGTCTTATTTGTGAAATAAGGCAGAATGGGGTGATAGAACCTAAATAAAAACAAACACTTTTTACAAAATGAATTACTTTTCGATATTGACTTATGCAAAGGATAAAGTGTACAGCTTTTGTTTAATTTATTATTTTCCTCAAGAAGTTAGTTTTTGGGGCAGCAAGATTAATGTTTGCTAATGTCTGCTTAAAATGTTTAAAAATTAAATGTTTAATAATCGTAATGTTTGCCTTAAAAATTTAAACGTCTGATTTGTGATTTGCGACTCAAACTTAACTTTAAGTACGAGGGTTTTATTTGTGAAATAAGGACAGGTCATGTAGAAAGGAAAAAAAAAAACAGTTGTGGAAAATGCATGATTTGTGGACATAGAGAACGTAATTATCATGAAAATGAAAGATAAGTAAAAAAGAGTCCTTCACGAGAATTAAGAATAAGAAAACCTTGGTAGTAAGAACTGAGATTTAATATCTCTCTAAATTTTAACTAGAACAACTCAGAAAATGACGCGAAGGAACATTTTATTTCAAATCGATACCAATTCGAGTTTTTGTGAACAGTTTAAATAGTGTCAGAAAACAACAACTTATAATTGAAAAAAACTTACACTAAGATCACGCGCATTCACTCCATGAATGAATTATTTTCGATTCCGAAAACAAATATCGGTGTACTTTGGATATCATCAGTACATTGTTTACAATCAGAGTACGAGTAGAGGTTAGTTTGTTGGCGCCAAAAGTTAGAAGGTTATTTATGCATTAATTTTTAAATCTCTGTGAACTGTATTAAATAATTGTATAATGTATAATTTCCATCCACTTTTTGTTATGTTAAGCCTTATTTGAATGGATCTTGATATTCTCTCCGTTCAGCGCGTATGTTTGACCTACAAACTAATTTTATTTAACGAATAGCGTATCCTAAATGAATGTTACTTACTTTATTGTATCGTAAAAATAACTTTACTGTGCTTCTTATCTTAGTGTAATAATAAATTTTTTGTTTTACTGAATATGGTGGCAATATTTCATTCCAAATAGTGTTAAAAAGCATTCTTAGGTTTTAACTAAACCAGTAAATATCTTTAGTTCCTGGTGTAGTGTAACGCTACTTTGGTGTAAAGTAATAGTCACCCTTTTGGTGTTAAGATTCACTTAAAGTTTTTTCAGTGTAGGAAACCGTTAAGATGGGTATTTCTACCCGACCGACTCGATTAAGCCTAAGCTCACCCTACTTTATCATCCAAGGCAAGCAAGCAGAGAATCTGTAATATTAAAATGAAGAGTTTGTCTTTCTGTGTGTCTCTCTTTAATAACTTCTGAACCGGTTATGCTAGTGTCGTGAAATTCAGACAGTGGATGAAAGGAGATAATTTCAGCCCCTAATCCTTAAATCGTTCAAAAATTTCAGTTATCTCGTCCTTGAATAATAGAATTTTTTCATTGCCTTAGAGCTCGATATGGATACAAATAAAATTGCAGACGAAACTTTTCCTTCCAAATATTTTGAAGATAGCATCAGTGATGTTAGCATTCTTATAATTCTCTTTAATCAAAAAAGGAGTTTATTGCACGCTCTCTAATATTTAATCTATTTATTCGCTATGTCAGATAAATTCAATTGTGAATAGTACCATAAGTGAGCTACGTCATAAAATTACTATTCCTTAAGTAATCTGAAACCACGTACTTATTTTTGTTATAATTATGCTTTTGAAATGCTTTTCTAAGAGATTAAATAACTTAAAACTAACGATAATTGGAATAAAAAGTTATGTACTGATAAGCAAACTGAATGTAGAAATAGTATTAAATCGTTTCAGAAAAAGGTTGAAAAATCACCATACTGTTATGGACGCCAATAATGGTTGATAAATTTTGGTGAAAGGCAACATCAGGGCAAAATCATGAAAGGTAGTGGTTGAAAAAAAAAAAGCTGCGTATTACAGAGCAAAATTAATAGAGAAATGATACAAATTGATTTAGGAAAAGTATAGTAAATTGCCTTGTTAATACGACCTGCGTGCGAAAGTTGAGCACTTTACGGTAGAGCAGTTTAACGAGGACCAATATCACACACCCTCGGACCCTAAGCAGGCTGATCAAAGTGGCCTCCTACACTGATCGTAGCCAGTGATGCTTGAATTCGGTGATCTGCTGGGAACCGTGTATTAACGATCAGTCCACTGTGGGACACACAAAGAGAAGGTAAAAATATCTCCCCTCTTCTTATAAGATGAAAACTGATAAAAATTTTCAGTCTGTTTTCAAACGGCATCTTGAGAACAGTTTGGAGTGGATTTTGAAAGCTCCGTGTCTCGGAAGTGACTTAATGTTAAAACTTGGAGGAAAGTGACTGCGAACGTCAAGGAAGGAGTATCTTCGAACGCTTAGATGTTACGAATGCAATTGGCTGAGTCCTCAATTTAGGACTTGTGCCCAGCAATTTAATTTGATCTGACCGAAAGTGTTTAGATTCGTATGATTAACTATAGTTGATAACCACTTTAGTATCAATAAGATACCCAAGGCAAAATTCTTGATGGTTCCATCAAAACATTTTGATGGTTCACGTTGGTTTCAGTGCGATTCATGATGGTGCAACATCATTTGATGGTCACCATCATCCAACATTTTCCATTATGCATTCATGGTTTTTGATATGCCGGCAAATTTCCATCATTCCATGATGGAAAATGCTATTTTAAGTTTGATTCTCATGAATCAACAATCCGTGATGGTTCCAACTATACATTTCCATGACGGTTTAATGGGAATAATTGTTGGTTCTCAGGAAGATACCAACAAAACAGTCTTCTTATGTTGGTTCATCATAAATCAGTCCGAATTCGTACATTGGGATGATGGCTGTTCATGATCATTTTAACATTTGATTTCTAAGAAGCTATGATGGAAATTTCTGTTGGTTCAACACGAACAAACCATCTAAACAAGCTGTTATTCTTACGTTGGCCAATCATAAATCATTTCAAATTCCTACATTGGGATGATGGTTATTTACTTTTGGTTATCTTCGAAAAATATAATGGTTCATGATGGAATTATTGATAGTTACCATCAAGTTTATGTTGGTCCCTCTATGGAAAACCATCAAAAATTTTGACTTGAGTATGTTATTTATATATATATATATATATATATATATATAGACTNAAGCAACTTTAAAAATATATGTCAATGAAAAATGAAATCAAGTTGACGCAGTTATAAAAAGTAAAAGTGAAAAACGTTAAACCAGTTATTATTATTATTATTTTTAAATTCTAATTTATTCGAAAGTTACTGCAATTTCAAGTGTTTTTTTTTTTGCGAATTCTTTCTTACTCTTTTGCTTCATTTTATATTTTGATTTGTTGTTCAAAATCTTGAAGACTTAATTTGAAATTATAAAGGTGTGAGGAACTAAAAGTTTGATGGAATAAAAAATTAGAAGTCAATTTTTTAGTTTGAGAGTCATTAACTCTTTACTTTGCGTTTTATGTTACAAATCACTTTTGATTTTCTCATTCACATCTGGGAAGTCTTGAGAATGGGTGCCTACTTTTGAGTGCTTGAGGCAAATCGACTTTTATTATAATAGTCATATTTTTTTGGAAGTCAATCAAGTTCTTATTCCAGTAATACTGTAAATTGGCTGAGATTGAAACAAAAAGTGAATGATTTTAATTTCCACTAATAATTAATATTTTTTAAAATTAAAACAGCTGTAAATAAGAGAGCTATGGTTCCTTAAAGTAAACTCGGGCTTGCATAACACTGCAAAGTTAATTTAACTTGAAATGTAGGTGACTCAACTTACTACATTTAATGGTCACTCTTGAAAGGAGATAGGTTCGCTTAGTGAATTGTAATGAAAAGAGATGGTGTTATAATACCTGCGAGCGCTGCGTAGGAATTCGACTTGGATAACTGGCGATGCAACGCTTTGCTTGGCAGTCATAGGATGGAACAAACAGCGCCATGACAGCCCTGTGGAAGTAGAGGATGAGCGGTAATGTTGCCCGTGTGAAGTGCTGGAAGTCGCCAACTTTGACTGCTCACTGGCTAGCGCAGAAAAATTAAATAGTGAAAATGTGATTTTCAAATGAACATAAACATAAAAATAAAATGTAAATAAATAGTCCTTTGTGATCGGATAAATTCATAATTTGCCAGTCGAAAAAAATAATCGTGCATAGTGCTCAAAAGAAAAAAAGAAAAAAAAAACGTTCTGAATAGACTTTTGATCTAATAATCGAATTTTTATGTAGTTCTACTCATCTTAATGGTTCGAGGGATGACTTCTATTAATGACTGTTATTTTAACAACGAAAACAGAAATAAAAACGAACTTTCTTTGAATAATATATTTTTTCTATCGATAGATCTATCGATAGAACTTCTCTTTAATTTTGATTTATTTACTAATTTTTCAATTTGCACACTGCGCATACTAAGTGTATTTATAATTACTATAAATATTTGTTTATGCAAAGTGGATGTTTAATTCTGCTACTTTAGGTTTAGAAAGTACTGTCTTATGATTTCAGATCTGTATTTTCATTATTAATAAGCTGTGGTGGACAGAACTTCTGTGAAATAAACCCAAGCTGAGAAGCACCAAACAAAGAGTGCCACGGTCACAGGTTCGGGGTTCTATCCTCGGACCGGGCAAGGTTGATTTAGCCTTTCATCCCTTCAGTGGGTCGGTAAAATGAGTACCAAGCAAGCTTGGACCCTAGAACACTGGGAGTTCAGCGTTTAGCTGACCTCCGAACCGGAACATCTGCGTCTGTACCTCAGAGCCGAAGGTCAAGACAACTGTGATGGGCACAGTTGGTCTTGGCCCTTCATGAGCTGTCGCGCCACTGATTTTCAGTTTAAAGAAACACTTTTGCTGTTTACTTTTTCTTCTTCGAAAAAAAAGGAAACACCCGTCATATAAGACAAAGGCAAATAGGTTAAGGGCAAATGGGTTAAGTTTATACATAGTTTTTATACTAGTCGAAATTATTGGACGAATGTTAAAAGATAATGTAAGGAAAAACGCGATTACACTTCAACATAATTTTTAAAATAATATTTTGAGTTTTACACTTCTCAATAGACTTAATTGTACAGTAATTACAGTAATATTAATAGGGTTGCTTACCGTTATGACTGACATACAGTTGATTAAATACAAATGACTATACACGAATATTAAGAGTATGACTAACTGTTGATTAGGGACAGCATCTTAGCAATTTAATCAATTTTAGTCATTATTAAAAAAAAAACTAAACAATTCATTGTTTAAATTTTTTAAAAAATAAAAATGAATTCTTCTAGCACGTACCCCTAGCGTAGTTCTCGTTGATATTGGACTTCTTCGTCAACTGTTTGAAAAATCTCTTCTCCAAGTTGTTGCTCTAAATTTGGAATACAAAATATAATTTAGCATAAAAGATTTTCAAATAATGAAATAGTGTATAAGAAATATCTTTATTTATAAAAACTAATTCTACAATTTATATATTACTATTTCCATCTAAAAGCAAAAATGGTTTGATGCAAGAAAATCCTTTGATTTTTATCAAAGAAATAATTTTCGATATGAACAAAAACTTAAACATTTTTTTAGAAATCTGTATAATTTTNATATATTAAAAGAAATAGTGTATTAGAAATATCTTTATTTATAAAAACTAATTCTACAATTTATATATTAATATTTCCATCTAAAAGCAAAAATGGTTTGATGCAAGAAAATCCTTTGATTTTTATCAAAGAAATAATTTTCGATATGAACAAAAACTTAAACATTTTTTTAGAAATCTGTATAATTTTTAAACGGCTGAAAAATTTGTTCATAATTAGAAATTCAAACTCAATAAGTTATACGGTAGGTACATTATTTGGTACTAATTTAAGATTATAGAGAAGGAATCGTTTACTGTAAGATAGTATTTATGCTTTTTTTTCAAATTCGACCCATTTTAGGAAAGGTATTAATCTAAAACATAATTGACGCTATTTAAACAGTGACATCATTAAATCTTATTTATACGAGTATATTTATAAAGCGTGCAGAGCGCAAAAAAGAAAAAGAAAAATAATAAACGAACCACCTTGAATAACTTTTGATTTAATGATCAGACCTTCACATTCTAAGGCTCAATCTTAATGGTTCGAGGGTGTGAAATCAAATATGCCAATTAGTTAGTGCAGACAATATTTTAATTTGTATTAGTGCAGATGATTTTAAAATATACGACTTTTTAAAATTTGATTTCTCAGCATATATGCAACTGATTTCGCTTAAATTTTGTATTTTGCCGTGTAAAATTACAGTCTTTAGAATGATGCAAAAAACTGTACATCTTACAATTAAAAAGTTTTTCCTCCTTTATTACATAAAATAACAATAAATATTTACTAAAATAAATTTTTTGCATGGAATTTTCTTTGGAAAAATGAATTTTGCAACTGTGTGTAAAACTTTTTAATTCACTGAACAAGTTCTCGAGATAGGATGAAATACCCCAAAAGCAAAATTAACATTAAGGGATCCAAACTTTGCACCATTCTCCTGACCGGAACTAAGGGACACAATATTTTCAAGATAGCAGCTACCCAAATACAAATTCGTGGAGAAAAAAAAAACGGTTATTCAAAAAAGTGCGTTTTTGTGTCTGATTCCTTAACTTAAAGCGCAAGTGATGGCTTGCATTAATTATTTAGCAAATTTGAATTCATCCCCTCTAACCATTCAGATTGAGTCCTAGAACGTCAAGATTAGATCAACAGTAATTTAGGGTGGACCGTTTATTTTTTTTACGCATCGCATGCATAAAATTTTGCGCATAACTAAAAAAAAGCAAACTATCTATAAGAGCATAAGTTTTATTTGAAATCGAATTCATATTGAAGATAACTTTATTCCCCCTTGATGATGATGATTCGACAAAACGGACATGGTTGCAACCAAAACAACCGTTTCAGTATTACTTTTTCCAGCTGTCATGACGTAAAAAATGCATGTTATAATATCTGTACAAATTATCGCAAGCATGTCAAAAGTTACAATACATAATTAACAGAATTAAGAGTCATTTTTTTGTTGAGTGACTATCTTGTAAACTAAAATTAGGACAAAGAGGATTCTATTTTGAAGAAATATCTACTCATCCAGAAATATCTAAAAATAAAATTTAGTAAAAATATAAGAAGGTTGACAAAAAAAAATGTTTTCTCCTGTTTTACTTCTTTTTAAATGCTAAAAAAAGTTTTATTTTTGAAATTGTCGAAAAGCAGATAACCCCAATCCATCTCAACTAAATTTTTATAAAGGGAAAAATAGGATAAATAAAACCACCGATACTTTTAAAACTATGAAAATTAGAATTGTAAAAATAAAATAATTTAAAATCATCATACTTAACCTTTTCATTTGTAATTGTAAATTAGTATTCACTTCAACTAAACTTTATTCCAAATTTTAAATAATAGCATAAACAACAGATGAAAATGTATTCGTGAGAAATCAATAATTAAAAATGAAGAAAAGAATAACTTAAAAAATAAATAAATTTCCTTAAAAAGGTATTACAAAAGACGGTTGCGTCAATTTTATTCATTTGTTTATTTAAATGCTAAGAAAGAGATCCATTTCGCACCATTTGAAGAAATATTTTTTCTTACTTTTCAAATCAATCAATCATTTTATTTTATTTTATATTTTCTTCTGTATCAGCAAATTAGCATATGCTTTACTTAAACTTCACTCTAGACTAAAATTAATAACGCAAACAGAAAATGAAAATGTATTTGCAATTATTATCCGCAATCATCAATGAAAAAAAAACTTAAAGAAATAAATAATTGCCATTAACATTATAAAGATTCTTAAGTACGCCCTAGTTTAATGAATTAGTTTATTTTAAATGTAAAATAAGAGCTCATTTTTGCATGGGCAGGAGAGCGGACCAATCAAATATTGGAGTTTTTTAAAACAATAAAAATTATAATTTTTGCAATTCATTCCTTACCACAGTCTCATTATTTTTATTTGTATAAGCATACGTAGTATACATATTATCAAAAACAATAAATGTATATATTAAAAGACATTGAATGAAGGGGGAATGGTTGACACTGAGAGCAGTGCATAAAAAGCAGGCAATTATACAACATTTAGCATTTTATATCAAGCTTTCAATCACACAATCAAACCACGTTGATTTACACAGAGATAGAGCACATACCTGCACTTCCGAATACACCTTTTCAAATTCCAAAATAAAACACAAATTCAAATTATTATTTTTTCTTAAAATTTCTACAATATTTACTATAAAAATTTCCATTCATTTAAAAAAATCTTTTTAAAAATTTCAAGAATAATTTTTGATTTTTATTGCGAAAAAATGTGTAAACTTAATTTAAGTGCTATTTTTTCTCAGCTGCATACGTCAACAGGAAAATAAATGGTATTAGAAAAATATAGTATTTCATCAAATACTTTTCAAACCCTAATATTGTTACTTATAATTATATTAACTCCCGTGGAATAAAATATTGCGTGCCATATCTTTCCAATGGAAAATATTTATAGTTTTCATTACCAGAATTCAAACAGTAACTATGTTATTCTTTTCAGTCATTTGAAAATGTGACATTCGATTAGACAAATCATTTTTATACATTTTCTTTTCAATTGAAATCAACTAAAATTGAATAATTTCTTAAAAATTCAGAATAAAACGATAAAGAAAATGACTGAATCGTAATCATTTCAGGAATTTTTGAATTTAACAATTCAAACGATTGTCCACTTAAGAAAGTCTTCGCAATTGTGTCGATTCATAAATTTGTTCCAATAGTAGAATATAAAATTTCAATGAACAAAAGTGTTTTAAATTAAATTTGGGATGTGAAAAAAACTGTGAACTCAGTAGTGCAGGTGCGAAAAAAATGAAGAGAAAGAGAGATAGAAAGAGGTAATACTTTTATAAGGAAGTTGTCCGGCACTTATGCAGTGTGTTGCTGCTGCATGCACAATGAAAAAGGACAAAACAATTACAACACAAATACTCAAGGCGAAAACACCTATTAATACATTTTTTTTTAAAAAAAAGGCAAGCATTTTATCTCACAGCTGCTACGGGGAAAACATTTAAAAGCAATGAAGACAGGCAATGTTTGTTTCTTTTAAATCTTTTCCTTAATGTATAAACATTAATATAAAGAAAATTATTATGATAGTGTTGTATAGATTTTGAGTCGAACTATCAACTTGCTATATTAGTTTAAATACAAAAAAGGTGACTCAATTGAGCACTTTCACTTCAAGAAAGAGATTACGGATATCCACATATGTGACCCACGAAGTCAGCGCCTGCTGATCTCTTATAAGCAAAATGGCGTGTTCATCTACGTTTCTCCACATAAGTTATATTATTTAACGTAAAGTTAATTCAATACAGCGCTGTATCACACATAGAATTTATCGAAATATAATTCCTTCTCGTCCATATCTTTTATTTAGCTTAGATTTATTATTTGTTTACGTACTTTATTGTAACCATGATATATTTTTGTTTTGTGCACCTGGCAACTTCGATGCATAATTAGTTTGTTCTATATGGCTTCATGCCTGATTTTTTGTGAAGCAAGAAATATATTGCGAGAGAATTAAAATCTTGGTGAAAGAATATAGAATGTGTCAAGAGAATCGATACTTGGCGGGCTGGGATAGAATTGAAAAAAAAAACAGTTACTAACGTAAATAAATGCCACGTTTCAACAAAATCGAGGTCTAAGTCACTCGCAGGTTAATAGTAACAATGCTCAATAATCAGTACTAATCAAAGTTTTTTACATCTCTGAATGACTGCATAAATTTTGTTTATAAACATTAATGTTCTCAGTTGTTTTGTTATAAAGTTTAATGTATCGTTTGAAAAGGCGGCAACAATAAGTAAGTGTACATTACTTAATGGAAAGTTTGATTTTAAACATTTCAGCGTTTAAAGTGATATTCAAAATCCATAGAAAAAGATTACGGAGGTTAGTTAAAAGGAAATATAATCTTTGCAAATAGAATAGGTGTTTCAAGGTTGTGCGATTTCCTCACTCTCCACTTCCTCTGCGTTACCATGGTTCCGGTAATTCTGGTAAATATTGTTTTCTTCCCACATAAGTATGGTAAGTAAATTTTTGAGCAACTCATATATAATCTGTGTTTCATTGTGTATCATAATTATACTCAAGTAGCATAATTATGCAATCTACGATTAATTATTACAATTGTTGAGATAGTTATAGAATGATTATCTTTGACGTAAATGTAACATTAACACTTAAATATAACAGCTGTGAGATATTTTAGTACTGAAACATCCATTTTACACATAAACAATGAAAGTAAAATAAAATCATTTTAGTACATGTATAAATGTCATAATTATAATTTTATACAAAAGCATGCAAAATATATACAACGATCCACATATAATATACGGAGTACATGGGTAAGTAATATAGTTTAATTATTTGCATGGATATATAACATATGAATAAAATTTCATAATAATTTAATACAAACCATCAAACGATAAATTGAAAAACATTCTTATTTCAGCTATAATTTCTGTTGTTAAAAGCAGCAATTTTTGAAAATCTCTAATTAAAATATGTTAAAAAATTAAATGAAATGAGATATTTTATGGATATTTAGAAACTGCAGAAAAATAATAAAATGGTTTCTAGGAGTTCTACAATAAATGCTTAGTCAGGATAATGAAAACAATCTTTCATTTTAACATTATTTAATATTAGATTTAAAATCAACTTAAACTTGCGTGTCACTTATTTTTTTAAAACTAAGACAAATTCAAGTTCGAATAATTGTCTTATTATAAAAGGACTTTTATTATATTTCTGTAGAAATACTTCTCGGTCATGTAGTTGGGATAATTTCAAATTAAGCTAGTTTATAGTTCAAATTAATTTTAAAATATTTAAAACTAAGTTTATACAATTTCACACTAAATTTAGCTACGTTCATCAAAGATTAAAAGTATACTATTATTAAGTTTAAAATAAAGTTAATTATTAAGTTTTTGTTTTTAAGGAAATTAAATAAAAGACACTTTTATAAATAAAATTAAAAATTTCCTAACCAGACCACATTCTGCATAATATAAGAACTCAATTGCTTTTTGAACTGCTTTATAAAAATATACTTCTTGTTTTTTTTTATTTAACATTTAATACTATTTTATGAAAAGCTAAAAAAAATGAATTAATGATTTTATTCAGAGAATATCATCAAAATTGTCCAATTATACAATTAACATAAAAATAACACTTACATGCAAAAACAAATTCATAATTTAAAATCTAAAAAAAATGACAGTAAATGTTCATTATTATGTTATTATTCCGAGGAAAATACCTTCATTCGCCAATAAAGCTGAAGTTTTATAAACAGATATATTTCATAGTTAGAAAAGAGTATGTAAAATTTCTTTTGCCTACTTCAAAATCGCAATTTAGTTACAAAAATGCTTAAAAATTAAAATTTCACTTCTACACATGTACTCCTCCCATACCCACACACGTGACCTATGACGTCAGAGCCAGCTAATCTTTATCAGCAAAATGGCGTATTAAGGTTGAGCTAAATTTCTCTGCATAATAAGTTGAAATGTTAATTAACAATAAGTTAATAAAATACAGGGCCGTATCGCACATCGAATTTAAAATTTAATTCTTTCTCGTCTACTTCTTTTACTTAACTTAGATATATTATTTGTTTATGTAATTTATTGTATATATTTTTGTTTTGTATATCTGGCACCTTCGATGCATTATTAGTTTAATTATTCTTCTTGCCTATTTTGTGTTAAGTCGCTGTGTAAATATATAATGAAAGAATTGAATTCTTTCAGAAAGAATCGTTGTGAAAGAATTTTGAATGTGTCATTTAAGAGTATGGATGCATGTTTGATTTGACTTACTCTAAATAGAATGGAAAGAGCAGTTGCTAACGTAAAGAAATGCAACGTGTCAACAATGAATCAGGATCGAGATTCCCACACAATGTCACTTGCAGGTATCTCATTGATTTCTATTTTTTCTGGTCGTAAAAGAGTCACATATATTTTTAATTAGATGGTTTTTCAAAAGAGATGCGTCAAAGTTAGCTCCAGACGTTTGAACAAATTACAAATGATAGTTACAAACTAGTTTGTACCATAAAAATGTATTCTCTAGTTTTATTGCAATAATTTTAATTAAAATATTTTTCGTTGAACTAGATAAATTTTCTTCATTGAACAAGTTTTTTAAACGTCTTAAGATTATGCAAAAATTATTTTTTATCCGTTGTTTCCAAAACTTCAGTTTGATTGGCAAGAAACAAACAGGGTGTCTTTCTTATTACATTTACAGAGCATTTTTTTCTTATTTATGTTAAGACTCTTCAATTTTCAAAGATACTAGAAATACAATAAAATAATATTTGAATGGAATAAGAAAATATATTAGTTCATAATGAACTTCTGTTAATTCCGTCATATGTTTCAACATCGAATTTAATTACAAAATAATTTAATTTTTTTTAAAACTTGTGCTGTGTAATTGATTACAATAAACATTGCTTTAATTTCTTGTGAAAATTAATTATAAAGAATTTTATAAAACAAAATTTTTTAGTAAAAGTTATTTATGAAACATTTTTGTAATGTATGGAAGAAACGTATACCATTATCTGTCGGCATTATTATTTTGTTGTTATTGGCAACAAATTCTCCCCATCCAGCTTCAATTAGATGGGTACCCGTTTGTCAGGAAAGTAATGGCGCATTGTCACCATGATGTCGTCGAATAGGAAATTTCGGAGCTTTAACCTCTAAAAATAATAAGCCTCGGTCCTGACCGGCCCGGATGTAAGAGGTTTGGAACATTACATCTGTCCTTTAGACGAAACTATGTATTTCTTTATAGACTAAACTTGCTTGAATCAAAAAACAAAAGGGTCTATCAGTACCATTGTTCTACCAAAAACGTATATTATCATTGCTGTTGCAAGTATCCGTACCAAGAAAAAAAAAAGAAAAGCCGGGAAGTTTCGAATGAATTTTAATGAATTCTCATGCATTTAGAGCCCGAAGCTTTGTGAAGTTAAGGTTAATAAGGTTTTTGTCGTCAAAAATATCAACAATATCGCCAAAATGGTTGATAAGTAGGTAACGGTTCCACTGTCATTCCCTTATTAGTCTGTTATTGTGAGCTGTTAAAACCCTGTAAAGTCGCCGAACTAAAATGTGGATTCAAGAGAAAGAGTGGATGGGAAACAGAAAATAATTTTATTATTTTTCCGTGGAAAATATAAAAAAAACAACAACATATTATTTCATTTTTAAGGAACTTCTTCGTATTGAGCAGTGAAATCGGCGCTCCTCCCGAAAAAGGAACGAAAACTGTCAATTTTAGGCTTAAAATCTAAAGCGAAGATTGTCAACATAGGCTTATCCACTTTTTATTCCTACCGCGTTTACTTGTTCAGACTATAAAGATCGTTATTAACTATTTATTTGTAATCTGTACACTGTACTCAACTGAGTCAGCCTATGTTATTTCTGGCTATATCTGCCCAAACCATAGTAAATTTGAAAAAAAAAAAGTTAATAAAATTCCATTATAATAATCAATTACAATTGATTATTAATGTGAAGGGTGATATCTACCTTTCTGATGTCATCTCCTCCATTCTCGAAGTAGAGGGTCTTTTGAGCGGGATTATTGAGTCTGGCCATTTTCATGGATCCTTCGTTGTTGAGGGAGGACGAAAGACACGGATACTTTTTCGGATCATGAGGGTGAAGTTTATACCACCTGGACTGCTCATCGATCACAGAAGAATCTGAAAACGTTTCGTTTAGAGCACATTTTAGAACATAAATACTTTTGTTTTTTACGAATCGTCACTTTATTAACTTTCAGTGAAGTTCTAAACGTTTATTTTATTTCAATGAAAATTCCACGATAAGGGCAATAGAATACAGCTAAGTACAATGGAGAACTTGTAATTTGATCTTTGTAACTTGTGCCGATCACAGAAGAATCTGAAAACACCTGTATAACTTATTATCGACTAGAACACCTTATTCTGTAACATTTTTAGGATCGAAATGTTTGTTTTTACTCATCGAAATCTACGTCACTTTAACAACTTTGAGTCCGAAATGTTTATTTTATTTACAAAAAATTCTATAATAAGCTGAAAGCAATGACAATAGAATACAAGCAAGGGCAACCGACGACGGCAATGGATTCAATGTTGGAGAATTGAAGACTTGGAATTTGATTCCGCCAAAGAACAAAATGAGTATTTTTTGAGCCTCAGATTATTTAAAATCTAATAGGTTTTAAAGATAATAGTGTTAAGGCGCAGTTTTTCAAGGATAAGATGGAGACAATGGTAATAGAATAGTTCAGATACACTTTTGAAGAGAATTGTAATCTCTTTTCATTTAAGACTCAAATGGATTTTTGGAACTGGACATTGTTTAATAATATGGAGGACTTTGGACAACATTATAATAAGCCACCCTTTTACAAATTGTTGACATTTTTATAAAATTGTTCCTTTCTTGTGCTCCTACACTGTAAAAAATAAATACTCAAGTTTCGCAATTATTTCTTCGTTTTTGACGAAATTGATTCCTGGGTATATGTCATTTTGTCAAAGTGACGAAATAACTATCTTCACTTCCTTGAGGAAATGAATTTCGTCAATAATAAATAAATATTTCGTCATTCTATTTTTTTTCCAAAGATTTCGCAGTGCCTAACTTTTCCCATAATCACTTTATCGTGGTCACAGTATAGCTGGCTCAATGTCCTTTTCATAACACATGAGAGACAGAATGAACAGAGAGATACATTACACCCCTGCCAGAAGCGGGATTCGAACCTGGGATCTTCCTGTTACGTGGCCAATTGCTTGACCTCTATACACGTCGATAGGCCTGTTTTGTTACATTAATTTTGATCGTCTAGTCTTCATTCTAATTAACAATGTCATAATATACTGAGATGAGGTTTCGTTTTGAGGAAATATTTTCGTCATATACTTAAGAGTTTCCTTTTCATCACAAATCACGTGACTTCGTGGCGAACTATTTCTCAAAATTAGCGAATTGTAGCTCCAGGATTGCTGAATCGTCAAAAGTGAGAGCTTTATTTCTGAGAGAGAAGATAGGCAGTTTTCAAATTTCCTACTTTCAAAACTACTATCATCATATAAGAGAGAAATAAGAATTTAAAAGAGAAAAAAAGTTTATATTCTTAAGTATAAATATCTATAGTGTTGTCCAGCTATTGTGAAATTTTATTGTGAAAAGTAAGTTTTTTCGAATTTGAATTTAAAGGCTAAATTTAAAAACAGATTGTAAATATTTTTAAATTATGCAATTTACATTAATGCTTAACCATTCATTAATAAAATTGGCAATTTTTAGTAATAAATGGTTAGACCAGATATATAGCATAATTTATTTTTAGTGTCTCTAATAAAAATAAAAATAATAAAAAATTACACAAGTATTAGGTGCAAGCAATATTATAAATTCAATAACAGGCCCTTAAACCATAATTACATTAATTAGAAAAATGTGAAGAGGCTTAAAATGTATTGCCAGTGTTCGGAAAGGATTTGCAATCGTTTCTTTCTCTTGGTGGCTGCAGTTGTCAAAAAAGTAATGATAAAAGGGTTATTGTAGGCCTTTTCATTGCAATTTTGAAAGCAGCGAGAAACTATTGAAAAAGATGTGTTTTTCTAATAGGGTTGTGGAGCTAGAGACAATGATCAGTGGTATTTAGAGACGTTAAGAAAGTTAAGAAAGAAAAGCGAATCTCAACTACCCTTCAGTGTTATTATTTTGCATGACAATGATAGACTTGACAAGTCGAAGAAATTAAGGTACTTTACCAGAAGTTGTAATGGAATAACCAAACATTCACCTCATAATTCAGATTTGTTCTCACTACGTGAACCACTGTACCATATGGACGAACAATTTAAGGTGTGAATGATTCAAGGTACATTCTCACTGCTTGCAATTTTTTTCGCACCTTATGCCGTGAGGATGATCCTTCAAACACCAACCAACAAATTTTCACGAGCATGAAACATTGTTTTATAGTGGAACAATTGTCTCAGCAATTGCATACTGTATTTTTCAAATTATATGACTCAATTTTTGACTCGTTATATATTGACTGCACATAATAGTCATAAATTCCACCAATTATATTGTATCACCAATAAAAGTGAATGCAAACTGATTGGTCCAAACTTAGTTTTGATTCAAACTTATTGAGTAAAAAATTCAGAAATGTGTATAAACTGACCTTTGAGATCGATGATGACCTCTCCGAGAAATTCTGGAGGTCTGTTGATGTCGTAGTTCCAGACTGATATCTCTAGATGTTTCTTCTTCAGTTGTTCCAGAGAAACCTCCGGATAGACCATTGTCTGCTTCCATTCCGGATTGCTGCATCGTGAAAAGTAACGAGTGCGCCGTTGATTCTCGAAGCTAGGAAAAAAAAGAACATATAGACTGTCTCGTGCGAATCTTTCTAAACACTAAAAATAGATCCTCTTTTTAATTTTAAGACCTTAAAATCGCTCTTTCACAAAGATTCATAAAAAATCAATATTCCAATTAGAAGATTATTTTCTAAAGTGAATGGGTAATAATGCTCAGACGCATTAAGAAAATCACCCAAATTCCCTATAGTCTGTATATGGGCGTCATCTGTTAAAAACGAATCAAGATGGCTAAATTTTCCCTTTTGGATGACGTTCGATTACATTAAAGATTTTCTTACCACCCATTCCCTTTCAGAAACCCTGAATAATGAAGACGGAGCAGAACAATGACTTTTTCATGCTATAACTACGGCCCGAATGGTTAAACCTCAAGATCCTGACTCAGGAAACCCCCCTTTTTAAAGAATTTATAATAAGATGTTGTCCGCACTTACTCTCCAAGTACGGAAAGTGAAATTTTGCTTTACAGTTGTCAGTGTGTTACGCTTTATGTTTGGAAAAAGCCATTGTTCAGTTTCAAGTCAGGATGACGGATGAACTAGTTACCGAAAACTGACTCATAAAGAACCCTTACTTATAAGAGGGGCTCAATCCTTCACTTATAAGAGGAATCTGTATATTTAGGTCTGAAAAAGTTGAATACAGATAGTTTTATGAGCACTGAAGTAGCGTTAGCAACAATTTTTTTTATTATATTGCATGGTTTATATTACATTGATTTTAAAGATAGAATAGTAAGAATGCTATGCTAAAACTGTACGTAAACGTTTTTAGTTGTTTTTAAAGATTAGGTGTCTCAAAAATAGTTTAGGTTTGCCATACAGTATGGATCTTGACAACTTCATGCTACAAATTCATCCATATTCATGCTGAATAGGAATTTTTGACCTAACTAAATAATTACAGTGAGCGGGAATGATGGTATGTATTTCTTATGTTAGTTGATATTAGTTGATGGTAGTTGATATTTTTAAATTTTTATTTTTTTATTTTTAAAAATGTAGTGTCAATTAGAGTCAAACGGTAAAAGAATTTAAACGGTATTGTTTAGCTCTGAATTTTTTAAACTAATCTTTTCAATTTTGCTTTATATATGAATTTGCAACATAAACTGAGAATGTATAATAATATTCGTTTAGTAATTCTTTTTACTGAAAATAATCAAATTAATTCACTAAAATGTTTCATAGTAGCGAGATTTATGCTAGATCATGATCTATGACATCGTTATTCATCTGTGCTTACCATCTTTCAGGTAAAAGATAACACTTAACGTAAGGATCTGGAAGCCCGCTGTTATCTCTGGAAGTCACTAAATTCCTCGCTCGAACGATCGTAACATACAGGATCTTCGCCTTAGAATCATGACACACTTGGAGCTGAAAGAGTAAGAAATTCTATTAAACTGACAAATTAACAAAAATGGAGTTCGGAGTAAAAACTGATTCATTACCTGTATTTCGCCAGAAATGTTTTCTGCTCGGTATTTCTCCTAAGAAGAACAGATATTCATTCACATACAGATATTAGGCATGATGTATTGCGAAAATATATGAATAAGTATTGAATGAATAATTGAATTTTTAGTTGAAGCACTCTGTTTAAGATCTAAAACAATTAGTGCTTCTGGATAAATAAGTTACGAAATCATTCAATAGTGCTTTCTTTAAATAGAAATAGCATTTGGGTCGACAGATTCCGAAAATATAGGTGGTCTCAATTTGAGAAATATATTGAATACAGTTGAGTCTGAACATCAGCCAAAATTTTGTGCTTTTCTATGTTTCTCGCGTATTTTGTCGTATTTCTAGACCTATTTATATGAATCTGAAGCCTTTTTTCTGCATACTATTATGAATCTTTTTATCCTGCAGGCACCAAAAATTATTTGTTAAAATTTTTATTATTTTATTTTATCCATTGGGATAAAAGATTTTTTATTGAAAGATTTAAAAAAAAATTGAATTCTCTAATCTAAGTCATTTTAAAGGATATCACCTAAAGTCTGAAAAAATGTGGTTATGCAAATCGAATACAGAAAATTAAGTTAAAAAAAATTTATTTTAAACAAAAATATACAAATTAGCAAAAAAGAAAGAATAATTGTACTGAAAATGTACACAATGCCGTAGAACTAATCAGAAAATAATTTTGCCACCCATTATTTCTGAATGTTTGAATCTTGTAAATCAACTGTTAAATCAGCGGTAAAATGTTAAACACAAAAAATATTTAAAGTTCGAAATCGAATATTTAGTGACATGTCTTTGAAGCTTCAGCGACCCTCATGCTAAAAGGTTTTTCTATCATTACGGACAAAAACTTATTGGAAATAATCTATCAGTCTGATGTAAAATTACAGAGAGATAACAATCTGAAGAATCTGTAAAAATACTGAAAATTGTTTGCACGGAACTCCTATAATTTTACAGGGAAAAATAAGTAATTACTTCTCTAAATTTCGTAAATTACTTTTTAACTCTAGGACTCTAAGTTCTTTTGGGCTTTGAAGTCACCGGGAATTATACTCTAGAGCTGTGATTGCCAATCTTTTCATCACCGTTTTATCAACGTTAGCCCGTTGAGAGGGGGGGGGGGAGAGAGAGGCGTTGGTTGTTTATAAATTCGAGGCTCATTTCTGGTGGAATCAACCAAAATAAAAAATTCTCGTTTGCCGTCATGTAACAGATTTTCCAGAAATTTTTCTTTTTGTAGGAAAGTACTTTATGAAAAACCACTAAAATAATTTTTTTCAGAATTTTTCAATCAAAATTAGGGTTAGGGGGCCATTTTGAAATCTGACTCATTTGAACAAAATGGCGTCACTTGGCAAGGTGTTTCATGCTTTCTTAACCTCGATAACTTTTTTATTTAGGAACCAATTTTGGGTTTTTCAGTATCATTAGAAAAACTACCAGCTGATCGCGGCGATGAATGGTCGATACGAATTCCGCATCCGGCTTGCACAGTCCACAGTGCTGACGTGAAATATCCTTAGTGGTAGACGGATCATGGGTTAGAGTCCCCTTGCCCTCAGGCTAACCGTGGGAAGTTCTCGTNTATTTTTATTTTATTTCATTTGTTTTGTATTGTACTAACAATCTAAAGAATCTGTAAAAATACTGAAAATTGTTTGCACGGAACTCCTATTATCTTACAGGGAAAAAATAAGTAATTACTTATCTAAATTTCGTAAATTATTTGTTAACTCTAGGACTCTAAGCTCCTTTGGGCATTGAAGTCACCGAGAATTATACTCTAGAGCTGTGATTGCCAATCTTTTCATCACCGTTTTATCAACGTTAGCCCGTTGAGAGGGAGAGAGAGAGAGAGAGAGAGAGGCGTTGGTTGTTTATGAATTAGAGGCTCATTTCTAGTGGAATCCACCAAAATAAAAAATTCTCGTTTGCCGTCATGTAGCAGATTTTCCTGAATTTTTTTTTGTAGGAAAGTACTTTATGAAAAACCACTGAAATAATTTTTTTCAGAATTTTTCAATCAAAATTAGGGTTAGGGGGCCATTTTGAAATCTGACTCATTTTAACAAAATGGTGTCACTTGGCAAGGTGTTTCATGCGTTCTTAACCTCGATAACTTTTTTATTTATGAACCAATTTTGGGTTTTTCAGTATGATTAGAAAGACTACCAGCTGAGCCGCGATGGCTCAGGGGATAGAGCGTTCGCCTTCCAATAAGGTGAATCGGGGTTCGATCCCGGACTGGTCGATACGAATTCCGCATCCGGCTTGCACCGACCACAGTGCTGACGTGAAATATCCTCAGTGGTAGACGGATCATGGGTTAGAGTCCCCTTGCCCTCAGGCTAACCGTGGGAGGTTCTCGTGGTCTTCCTCTCCATGTAACGCAAATACGAGCTAGTTCCATCAAAAAGCCCTCCACGAATGCAAAATTTCTCTCAATACTTGATCCAGGAGTTCCCTTGTCTTCTGGATTGGGTTCAAAATGACACGGAGTTGAATATGAGTAGTCGTGAACCCAAAAATTGGGTAGAGGCTGTTCACCGACGGTTATAATAGCAAAATATGAAAATAAAAGGCTACCAGTGATATAACTATTAAAAGGATAAATATATATCAAAAAATGTTTTAAAATTTGAACTAAAAAAATTTAGGGTGACATTTTTGGCAAATTTTAAGATTTTCTTTGCAGAGAAGTAACAACTTTTACCATTTTGATTTTTTTCTCATGATGCTTAATAACACAGTTTTTAACATAAAAAATTAGGAGGATGCTTTTTGTTTTTAATCTTTAATAAAATAATCAGTGGAAAAAAACTTACAAAGAATAATAAAAAAACTAAAATACAGTTAAAATTTTTATAAATTTATAAAAATACTATATGATAATTACTTCTATTTATTTACATATTTTTTTATAGTATTCAATTTAATTTAATTGACATTTAAAAATGTTGCATCATTCGGATTTTTTCACTTTGAAAATTTTCATCTAAGCACATATTAGGTGTTATCAAAAACCTTAATAATTATGCTATTATTTATAAAACCATTCTCATTCGATAAATTAAGAGCATATTGTTAAATGTTTTGATTTTCATTATAAATAGATTGTGTGATTCCTAGTTTGGCTTTTTCCTCTGTTTATTTTTTTTAAAGACTAAAAACTAAAAGCACTCTTCTAATTTTTTTTATGTTGATAAGTAGGTAATTAAGTATCATAGAGAAAAAAAAGTTGTTAATTCTCTATAAATNAAAAAAAAAAAAAAAAAAAAAAAAAAAAAAGTTTTTACTTCTCTACAAAAAAAAAATTCCTGAACTTTTTTTCAAAAATTAGTTTCAGTGCAAATTTTAACACATTTTTTGATATATATTTAGGTATTTAATAGTTTTATAACGCATAACTGGTACTTTCATCTTGTGACTTGCTAAGTGACGACATTTTGTTAAAATGAGTCAGACTTTACTAAGTTTGGTCGAAAAGTTCTGAAAAAATAATTTTAGAGGTTTTTTATGAATTAATGTCCTACATGAAAATCTGTCGACAATTCAATGCATCCATGGGTCGATTTAACTTGGATATGATTGCTTTGATGTAATAATTTTAATTTAATTGTATTTAAACATGCCTCCAAAATAAAATGCAATTACATTCATGTGCACTGATGAAGTTTTAGGTCTCTTAGTACCACAGTAAAAAAAAAAGGAAAAACTTTAATTGTTCTCGAGTAGCCCGGTACTATATGATTCATGGACCAATATAGGCACTCGGGTTGGGGACTACTACTCCAGAGTATATTCCGAATCACTAAAACTCAAATGGAAGACCCGAGTTGGCTCGTTTGCCTCTCAATGAGGTAAAATAGGTTCGGATAGCTGCGATGGCTGGTCGATACCGCAGTGCAGACGAAACATATTCTCAGTGGTAGAAAGATCTTGGGTTAGAGTCCTCATCAGACTAGCTATGAGAGGTTTGATGTGATTTTCCTCTCCATGAAACACAAATGAGGGTTAGTTTTTATCAAAAAGTCCTCCACGAAGGCAATTTTCTCCCAATATTCCATTCAGGCGTTTCCTTGTCTTCTGAATTGGTTTCAAAATGACGAGGCTAAGGAGTTAAACATTGGTAATTGCAAACTCCAGAGTGGGTCGGCTGTTCAGCGCCGAATACAAAACATAAAATAAAAAAAACACAATGGGAGAAAAGGCAACACAGCCAGATACCCAGATTCTAGCTGAGGGAATCGAACCCCGTCCGTAGCTCAGTAGGCGAAGTTTCTACCCACGAAACCCTATGGGTAACTGCGTACCAACGAGATAAATTACAAGCATGCAAAATATGTGAAAGAAAGTTCTTTTAGAGAAATACGCAATGAAAAACAGGTATTTTCCGTAACCTTGTTATAACTTATATTTGTTTGGACAAGATTTGACGTAATTTGACGGAAATTCTCGCTGCCCTTTTACAGTGTAGATTTGGCTGACTTAAAAATAACAAAACAAACTGATCGTTAAAAGAGATTGATTTGAACCTTGTTCTCTGTGGTATCTCCTTTTCCCGTGGGTGAGCCAATCCTTTGTTGTCGATTTGAAGACTGTCGGTAACCTCTAGAAGGGGACGCCGAGCCACTCCTTTCAGACTCCAGGTAGTTTGAGTTATGAACTCCTACANTAGACATATATATATATATATATACAGTACAATAAAGACAAAAGGTATAAAAAGAAAAAAGAGAAAAGCGAAGAAAATTAACAAGTTTTATTTACTGCGCATAAGCAGCAAGTACATAGTACTTATAAAATAAGTTAAAAATGTGGAGAAGACATGGAAAATAATAAAGATTTATGAAAAGAAAAATATATAATTTCAATAATTTCTCTTTTCATGAATCTTCATTACTTTCCATGTTTTCTCTACATTTTTAACTTTATATATTCTTGTTTAATATAATCCCTTAAAAATGAGCAAAGATAATAAAAACACTAAAATTACGCTTTAGAAAGTTTTTTGTTATTTCTTAAGCACTTTTTCCAGTAGTTTAATATTTCAGAATAACAATTATACTCATGGATGACCCAACTTAAGCTGATTTAGGGTTTGAATCCATTACAATCTGCCATTATCAGTAAAACATTAGAAACAATCCAGCACTTTCAAACGAAAAAAGTGCGTGCCATGATTGGTGTCTGTATTGATTTGACTTTTTGTGAGGCTGATTGGTGGCTATGGTTAGGAGTCCTCTTTGATAATGAAATTATGTTTCCAATAAATTCGATATGAATGAAGGTTCAAAATGGTTACAGTTAGGCAACATATGATTACGAGTTATTCTTATCATAAAATACATTTAGATTGTTATTCGTGAGTAGCTGTTGGTACTGATAATATTCCAAAACAAAGTCAGATTGATAAACTGTTTCGATATTCCTCTTTAAAACTCTTAAATGATTTTTACAAAGAGCTGTTAAGGCCTAAACCTCCCGAAATTATAATATAAATAACTATTTAAGGTATTACAGAACAAACTCCACTTATAGGAATGCACTTCTTAACTTGGCTGTGAAAGTTACTAGGAACAACTTTTAAAGTTTTTTTCGGAATGCTCTTTAATCTTTATTTTCTTAAAGTCTTTGGCATTCTTAAACCTTGTTCGTTCAGCAAATCCCTTTATTTCTGTAAACCAAAAAACAAGAAAATAGTAAATCTTTTTCTTGTTTTCGAAACTGAAAAAATTAGCTTAAGAAACAAGTTTCAAGGATGTCAAAGACACTTAAGAACTTTAAGATTGAAGAGCATTAAAAAAAAGACAGAAATTTCTATGCATATCCAAGCACAAAAGAGCATGACGGTAAATTGGAGTTACTTCGGAAAATGAGCATGTAATGTATAAAAAATGAGTCATTCGAAAAATGAGTATGTAGTGAGTTAAATGAATATGTAATCCACATGAGTAATATTGTTATGTTATTTACTGATCATCCTAATATTTCACTTTGCATGAAAGACGGGATATGTAGCATCGATTGTTTATATTAAATAAATGTAAAGTTGAATACTAATTAAAGTATAATGTATCGAAAACTGGTAAAACGCAGTTGGATTTCTAATAGGAAATACTTTGTTAAGTATAGATGTAAGAAGTAAACTATTAGAAGAAGCATATATTCAGTAATAATGTTTTCAAATTCTACATAAATACACAAGTGTCCTAAAATACACATAAGAAATAACTTTGATAGAAAGCACAAGTTTTAAGTAAAAAATTGGAAAGTTTTTAAGTTAAGTCTATAGTCTATAGTTTCGTTAAGTCTATAGTAAAGAGTTAATGCATATTGAGTAAATGGTTTCCGTGGTTTTGCTACCAGATATGCACTTTTTCGTTCGAATTTTTGAAAACCAGTTTGCATAGATAGGCGAGAATTATTTTTAAAAGCTTTCAACTTTCTTCTTCAATACGTAGATGGTTATGGGCTAGTTGGCGTAAACCTTAGGATATAAATAATCCCAAAATGAANTTTAATACCTGAGGTCTCTTATAAAGTTCAATATAGCGACTTCTATATAAACCAATTTTTAACCAATCACGGCACACAAAAAAACTATCAACGAAGATTTCATAATAAACCTTTAAATTGCGATCAATGCAGAGTAACAGACGACTTGGAACACATTCTACTAAAATGCCCAACTTATGAACATAAAAGAAAATTATACTTTCCCAAAAATCTTAGCTACGAAAAATAAAGAAATACCAAAAAAAGATAAAAGAGGGTATAAGGGAAATCATCAAAGATCACTTTGAAACAAATACACTAGAAATAATTTAGTTAAGATGAAAAACAACTAATTCCCTAAATAGAAGTCAATGGAAACGTGTGCAAATAATAGAGTGAAATATATGACGAACGCAATATACCTCATCATGTTCATCTTTTCATCTGTATAAAGAACATTTTAGCTCATCATGTTATAATTTTGTAAATATTAATACCCGGATGCCCCCATAGGGGGCGGGACGGGGTATAGACGGGGTATAGCAATAAAATCCCAAAATAAAAATAAATTCTGCTGTGTTAAATCACATGATCTGGGCGGCCAAATGGGATAATCAAAACAGAAAATAACGCGACTTGGAACTGACTCAATGCTTAAAATATTGTTCAGCAATGAAGACGCGTTGTTCAAGTTACATAATAAATAACAATGGACTGTTGGACAACCACACGTGATCCTTATTTCTTACCTTGTCAACATTTTATTTCACACATTTTTACAAATTTCAAATATTGAGAGAATTTTTGACTCTATCCTTTAGGTACGAATCAGACCAAAAAAAAAAAAAAAAAACTAANGTAGTATATATTGACCTTCATCCGCCATGGAATGGAGGTGGTAGTCAGCGCTGTCGTAGTTTCTGTTGTAGCCGTCCGTGTCGCCCCTTGACGTCCTGTAGCTGCCTGACTGGTGATAGGACTGGTTGTTGGACCGTGAGTGACCGCTCTGCTGATCGGAGTGACCGCTACTCCGAGACAACCGAGATTGATTCTGCGGTTGCTGATGATGGTGATGATGATGATGAGAGGATGATCGAGAACTCAACATGTTGAAGTCGCTGCAAGATAACATATTAAAAACTCTTCGTATATCTGTTTCATGGTGACAGATGTTCGTGGCTGGGATTTAAAGGCACTGAAATCTAGCATGGATACGAGTTGGAAAACGAAGAGTTCAATTTGCTGTTAGTAAACTGAAATGGAATAGTTTCGAATACGAGAAGAGTGTTAGTCTACCAACATTTTAGATTCCAAGACCAAGAAGTAAGAGTACATTGTAAAAAAATGTTGGTGTATAGTTGCCACCCCATTTTATACTGATGTAAACTAAAATTTTTACAGTGTATATAGTTACATTTTTATTCAGTTTTTCACTGGTACAGTTTTATTTATTTATTTTTTTGTTTGTTTACTGACAACACACATTTTCATGCGCATTCGAATCAATTTAATGGTTTCATTTCAGAAACATTTGGTTTCAAAAACAGGCACATTTTTAGAAAAAATTCCTTCAAACAATCGTTATTTTATAAAATTTTTTTGCAATTTTATCTAATTTTTTGCAAGATAATTACAGTTCTGTATTGAATAAGGTATCTTAACAGCAAAAATGGTAGCAATTCTTTTCAGCGAATGAGATTATTAGATTTGAAACACTGAGGGTAATTTTTGGTTAGCCGGGTACAGGGAAATTCAATTATTATATTTTTACTCTTTTATTTTATTTAATTTTTCGTTAAAGTCCATTTTGCTCATTTTTTATAAAAAAAGACTAAAAAGAAGTGGATGGAGGTCTACATTTTTTGGCGAATTCTTGCATGCTCTCGGCTAACCGAAAAGTACCAAACTGAGTCTCGAAAAATTAGCCCAGAATTATCAACAATCAGACAAAGATGTTAATTGAAAAAAGTTAACTATCATTGTGTCCATATTATGGTATCGGAAAAAATAGGTAATACATTACAGCAAGTGTTCTCAACGTTTGTGTTGGTCATATTCTAGAATTCCAGATGGATAGACGTCAATTATTTTTTAAGAAGAATTTATAATTTTACATGGAATTTTCCTGAAAACTGAAATATTTTTATCGGGCGTCATTCTGCCGCAAAATCATAGGATTAGGATTTCTTATAACATAAGACATTAGAGACAATTACAGGATTTCTTTAAAACAGCTAAACTATAGGGCATCAAAAATATGCTACACACCATCAATTGAATAATACTGAAAATTTTTGCTAATTACTTCATGGATAAATTATTTTGTACAGTGATAACGTATGTGTACAAAGTACTGAAGCTAAAGTAAGGGCTGATTTGCTTTATCATGGTTAAGTTGGTTTATCTTGGTTCAGAAATGAAAAGAGGGTGACTCGTAAATTTTTGAAAGCGATGGAACGAAAAGTCTCGTTTTGAGATACAAAACAGAAATTTAAGCACAGACATTTTTTTCGTCTCCTTATTAAAGTTTAATCTGATCATTTTGACAGTATATTTTTAGTTAGATAAAACAAAGGGTTACTCAAATGAGAAATGGATTTGTGCGCTAATATATAAAATACAATAAAGTTAGCAGAGTTAAATGGATGAAAGATAAGGGAACTACTAACTGATCATACTTTATTAGCCTGTTCAAAGGAAAGCATATGAAGTGAATGTAAAGTCATGCTAGAAGGATGTAATAAGAACAGAACAACATGAAATAGTAATATTCTTTGTGGCAGAAAGGGGCAGCACAGCGTCTTTTTTTCAGACAAATCGCTGCACATATATCACGAGTCGTACCTTTTCGACTAACATGAATCGAACATGTCAACCGAAACAATAAATTATTGATGATCATTATATTTTTTTTGCCTTGTGTCTCGACATATCTGATGTTACCAAAACCGTGAAACCATTTATCCATAGCAATTTTTCTAGACAGTATTCACCATAAACGGAAATCATTTGATGAAAAATCACACTCACTAGCTGCCTCTAAAAAACATAATACTGTGTGTTGTTCTGATCTGGACGTATCTATTTCAGTACGACTTTACATTCAATTTAAATGCTCTCACGTGAGCTGGTGAAAAAGCTCTCAGCACTTAGCAGTGAATTTTAACTTAATTCACATGGACATAACAATTTTTCAATTGCGTAACACTTATATTTTCATCGTTTTACTATACTTCCTATGACTCTTGTAAGAAATTGAAAAAAAAAATCAAATTATTAAATTTAAAAAAAATTTCTGAGATGAAAATGATTCTTAAATTTGTGAAAGAGAGAGGGGATACCTGCGAATGACAATTTCCACTTCGTCTCCTGAGGAGGCGATTATTCTCTGAACTTCTTCGTAGGTCTTCCCCGTCAAAGGAACACAATTCCACTCCAACACTTGATCTCCTACAGAAATTACCCACATTTATTGTCATTTATCAATAAAATAAAAACATTATTTAATAATATAAAATCTGATTCTACGTCCTTTATCTTATAATCACCTTATTCTTAAATTTTCAAAAATGCGTCTTGATTTAACCTAATTTTGAATGCTTAGTTAAATGCAAATCCTACTTTTGAAGAATCCATTTTAAATAGAATAATACATATGTACCATTATTTAGAAGAGAAAGTTCAAGATGGTATTTGGAATAGAATGGCATCGCACAAGAATCGATTTATAGAAGAATATATTTAAAGTAAAGTGGAACTATTGACTACTGCTGTTCAAAGTAGAATGATACCATTCAAGAATCTATTTTGAAATAGAATGATATCATTCCAGAAATTATGGAGTGAGGAATAGTATCACTCGAGAATTAATTTAGAAAAGAATTGTGTTCAAGAATCTTTTAAGGGTAGATCTTGAAGAATCTTCATGATTGTTCATAAAATTCTACAATGAGTAACCGAAATGATAAGTTTAATTGCGATAGAACTTAAAATAGATAATTATATATTACAGTCATTATAAGATGTAGCAGAATTATTGCGAATATTAGTACGTGCCTCACTGTGTTCATTTACGAAACGTAGCGTAATGCATCTTTTACATTATCTATATATTTACTTTAAAAAAAACGTCATCTGCTACAGCTGTAAGCGATTTAAAGAACGATGAAAGAAAGTCTCTCTGAAGTCAGAAAGTAGCTTGAATTTATTGAGTTCCAACACAAAAGATGCAGGGGCTCATGAACAATTACCAAAATGTATCAGTTCATGGGATATAGTAGTGGAAACAAGAATATCTTACCTTCCCTGACTTCTCCCAGCGTTTCGACGACACCTCCCGGATATATCCGGGCGACGTATGCTCCAATCATTCCATTGCTCCCTGGGATCTCCTTCCCACCAACCACTTTCATTCCCAAGCCATTACCTGCAATTGGAGAAGGAAATAATTCATTTTGAGGAATTAACGACGCCGGCCACGCACTTGAGGCCTGACTTGCTCTATAGATGACTTCATTTGGAGGAGAACGTTTATTGCCACTTCGACTTATTGCTTTAGTAGATTGGATCACAGTTCTTTAAACAGGCAGAAAGTTTCTCGATTCATTTGAAAAAGAGACTAAAAAACGATTTATATAGGGTTATAGAGAAGTAAAACTAACAGGAAATCTGAAGAGGGATACCTGCAGGTGGCGTAGTGTGGGTTTCTCTTGAAACGTGGCGTTTGTTTACATTAGCAACTGTTCTTTCCATTATATTTCGAGTAAGTCTAGCATCGATTCTCACAAGTGACACATTCTAAACTCTTTCACAAAGATTCTTTCCCAACAATTTCAATTTCGTCACTATATATATGAGCAGATACGTCACACAAAGACAGGCACCAAGCCACGTGGAGCTTAAGCAAACTAAAGTTGCATCGACGTTGTCATGCACACATAACAAAATGTGTCACGGTTACAATATAATACATAAACAAATAATAAATCTAAGTTAATTGAAAGATGTAGACGAGAAAGAATTACAGTTCAACTCATTTGATGTGTGATACGGCCCTGTATTTAATTAAATTATCGTTAATTAACATTCTAAATTATGAAGAGAAACTTAGCTTAACGCTATTTTGCTGATAAAGATCAGCTAACGTCATAGGTTAGATGGGAGGTCTTCTTGAAGCGCAAATACCCAATTGTTAGATTTTGAAAGGGCACGGACAAAATATTTTATGGGGGCATTCTAGAAAAATGAATATCTCAGGATTCCGTTAGAATCTCAATTGTTTTTAAATGGATTATTTGATGTGTTGATGTTGAATTTCTTATCAATGATATAACAGTTGCGAAGCTCTTGAAAGTGATAAATTCAGGGTATGAGAGCTTTGCGCTAATAATCATGTCAAAAATTTTAAATGCATTTTATTTTTCTAATTCTATGATTTTGACTTCTACAAATAGAAATGGGGTTTGCCTGAATCACTGCATTAAGGAGCCATGCCTAGTTCCTAAGTTGCTGTATCTATCCATATAATTAAAATAGGAAACAAAAATGACTAGTTTTCAACACCAGAAATGAAAATTTTTAAAATTAAATTTTCATGATTATTAATTTTTTTTATATATATCTGGATCTTCTAGAGCTCCTTCTAGAATTGGGTCACCTAGCGTTCTAGAAATCCTAATCAAATGTCTCCAACCCTTTTGACTGCTCTGGTGTTTAATGTGAATGCATAGCTTCCAAAGGGCAACTGAGAATTTTTGAAAAGTCCGACGAAAGAAAAAATGAATGTGATTTAAAGCTGTTTTTAAGATCTGAAACAGAAAGAGCTTTACAATTTGAATAAACATTTCATATTTACTTTATTTATGATGGGGAACTGTACTCGAACCCAAAGCAATAATATTACTTTTGCTTTACCCTGTATGGGAGTTAAAAACATAATTATGTTTGGCATGTTTTCTTCTTTGCGTAAGAAGCTGTTTGTAATTTCCACCTTCTTCAGTAGAAGTATTTGTTTTACAATAGCATTCCCACAACAGTTCATTGTGGGCCATGGAGATTAAAGCATTGTTTCTCAGTATTTATATTTCAATTGATGAGTTAAAATTTCTGTTGGTAGGAAATGTTTACGCGAAGATTGCATTTTTTTTTCGGGATGCATTATCTCAAGAAAAACCTCATACTAAGTTTTTTTTTATTATTATTATAATAACTTTAAGACGTAATGGCTTTTTCGAATTTTAAAACCATTTAGATTTTTGTTTCATTTCATTAATGAAACCAAAATTGGCTTGTTGATTTTTAAGGCGAAGATCTTCGATAATTTTTTTTTCTTTTGAGAAATTAGCTTGAAATAAAATATAACACGTTACTGTCTAACATGAAAAATATATCACTTTGATATATTTAGTCTTTATATTAAATTAAAAATATTCAGCACTTATTTTACCACTCTTTATAATGTGCTATGAAACAAAACGAATTAGTTATTTTAAGGCTGTTTTACGAAGGCTCTGTTGTCACTTTTTTTTCACGCACTTGTTGTAGTTTTTTTCCGAAAAATGAGCTATTTTCCTAACAATGACTGATAAGTTGAATTTAGTCTATCTTTAGTCAGAGCCCTCTATGATATTTCTGAAAATAATGCAAAAAGTCATTATGAAGAAAAGCCACAGTTTTGTAAAAATGAAAAGCGTTTGTGACCTCATTTTTTAATACTTAAAAGGTAATCCAACCCTTTATTATCTGGTCTTATAAAAATTAGGAAAAATTAAGAATTATTCATTGATTTTGATGATTATAGATTGATTTTAAGAATTATTCAGTGATCTAGATGGAAAAATCTTGCTAAAACGGTGATTTTTAAAAATTGTGAAAAATTTTTAAAATGTTTATTTTATTGTTTCAAAGCACAGATAGTTCTTTATGGCAAGACTGTATGTATTGTTAAAAATTGTTGCTTTGCCTCAAATATAAGGCGCTTAAGAGGATGTTATTCCCCTGTAAAAAACCCTTCACTTACATAAGAAGTTCAATATTGAAATTATCGAAAAAGCGAGTTCAGACAAACTTAGAGTTAATCAACAAAAACTGAAGTTATTTTCTTCGAGATATCATAATGCAAACAAGTTATGACATAGGAGTGTGGAATTTATCCTGCATTTTAATATTTTTAAATCATTTATTTAGCATGTAAAACTTCATTGTTTAATCTGAACTCATTTTTCTCTTAAATTGAAATTTTTATCCAACTGTATACCGTCCTCTTAAACTGTGGCTTATTTTATTTTACTTGTCGAAATAGCTTCGAAAAACGCTGTTAAGTAATAAAATGTAATTTCTTTTTATCGTTGAAAAAGTGAATCAGTACTTACCACTTACGGAACGGTCTTTAGGATCTCGAGTGAGCAAAATTCTTTTTACAGGAAAGTCGTACTTTTGACTGGTTTTCGAGTTCTGAAAAAAAATATAAACAATACTTAGTACAGCACATTATTTGTGCTCATTTTTACTTTTATAGTTACAGATGTGATTTTAAGAGCTCTCTTATTTTAGGTTAAATATTTGACTCCGTGTTTTTTCTTTCCTTTTTTAACATGTTTTGAGGATTTTTTTGCGACATAATATCTTAAGAAAAAGTGGGAAATAAGGGCTCGACTTTATTAAGTTGGTAAAAAAACATCCTGCAATTACTTTTAGAAATTTTGCAAATTCATTTTCTCAAAAAATTTAAACTGTAAAATGATGCGTTTATCAAATTCGGATATGTAACTTAATACTGCACTTAGGCTTGTTTGTAGGTTTTTCGTTTTTAAATATTTTGATTTCTTTTTTGCTTAAACTGACAAAAACTGATCTGGATTAAGCTGAAAAAGTATTTGAGCGTAAATTGCGTGAAAATAAACATATTTCATAAAAATCTGCAAATAGTCAACGGTAATAATACTAAACTTCCTTTCCAAAAATGCTGATTGCACAATTCTATTTGTAATAATTTGTCAGAATTTTTCTAATTCTGATCAGGTGACTACTTTGCAATTTTCATATATGGCAAGATACTGCTGCGTAGAGTAAGTAGCAATTGGGTATTTGCAACTCGAGAAGAAGATCATCGATACACGGACACGTGACCTATGACTTCAGTGCCAGTTGATAGCTTATGAGCAAGATGGCGTCTTAAAGTCGAGCTAAGTTTCTCCACATAATGTGACATTAATATGTGTATTTAACCAACTAACGGGAAGATTATTAAATACAACACCGTATCGCACAGAAAGAATGCTAAAATATAATTCTTTCTCGTCTAGGTCTGTTACTTGACTTAGATTTATTATTTGTTTGCGTATTTTAATGTAACCGTGATATATTTTTCTTTTGTGCACCTGGCAACTGCAATACATAATTTGTTTACATTTTACACTTCGCGTATGTCTTTGTTCTAAATAAGAAAGATATGATGAAAGAATTGAAATATTTATGAAAGTATATAGAATGTGTCACTTAAAAGAATTGATATTCGAAGGGCTTGACTTGCTCAAAATAGAAATGGAAGAACAGTTGCCAACATAAAACAAATGCCACGTTTCAACAGCCAATCAGGATTGATCCACTCACACTACTTCACTCCAACGGCTCACACTACTCATTGTAGGTGGCATAGTAGTAGGCATTGTAGGTACTACTCATGGCATTTGTCGATTCACGAGTCAATCAAATTACGACACATACGCGTGACGTCGCTTAAAGGCATTTAATTAAATCTGATATAAATCACATGGTTAGGTATAATTATCTTCTCGTTGCATGTACACCAATATTAACTTAATTTAAAATATAATTTCAAAGAAAAACTTTTTACTCAAATCGCTCGAAAAAAAAAGAAAAGAATTAGTTCAAAATACTGCATTTTTTTAAAATTCTCCGAATGAAAGCTTTTTTCCGATTCGGAGTTGAGTTCGAGATTTCAGAGTCGTTCAGAAAACAAGTCGAAATCAAACACTTCCGGTTGCTCAACTTTGATTATATACTGGCACCTCTGCCTGCGCTATATGACTATTTTGTTTTACTCGATTCTGGAATCTAATAGATGATATAAACTATTGATGTTATCGAACACTATTCGAACGTTTAAAGGACTTCTCATACTTGATGTGCACTCAATGAAAAATGACACCTCAAAGCTTTATAATTTCGCTTCACATAATTAATTAAAATCTAGTTCATGTAATTTATTAATCAAACTATTTATTAAAAATATATGTGCCTATCTTTAATTGTATTTCTATGTATATTGGTTGACGAAAAACTAAATTATTGCAACTGTCGGAGTTTTTTGTTTTATCAATATAATTTTAATTTGTCAAATAGATGATGTTATAATTGTTGTGCTAATTAACTTTAATAATCGTTACATTTTTTAAAAAAAATCAATGTAATTTTCATAACTCTATTATTTTTCTAAGCAATCTAGTATTTGTTGAAAATTTATAATTATTTAGACATTAACTCATAAGTCAAATTCTACGAATGTCTGTTATATAAATGTCTGTCACAATATTCAATCGTATGTAATGTTTAATATATATAAAATAAAGTCATATGGCGTAAACTAAGAATTTTCCTTATAGCTTTTTCAATAAGAGGTGTGGTGTTTGTATTGATAGTCTAAAAAGTTACACCCTTTAATTTCATAAATTGCATTCCACTCTCGATAATCTATTTCATTGAATCCATTATGTTTCAATATGGAATAGCTTTAACAGAAGTTGCTTGAATAAGAAAATTTTATTTTTTAAATAAGAGTCAAACAATTTTTTTTACCTCATTGTAGGTATGCAACTACGCACACATTCTTGAAAATTTAAATTTTTTTGGTTCTCTTTCAGTTATTTTTAAAGAATTTGTTAAAAGTATCGCTAATAATAATAGCTAATGATTCGCATGACATAAAAACGTAATACCACACTAGCATAAGAATAAATTAATCGTTTTTGGATTAAAAAAAAGTAATAAACAAATAAAGAAAAGAAATTTATTATTTTTCATTTATTACTTTACTTTAAAGTTTATTTAATTTTTTGAAGCATTTTTTCTAAGCAATTTTCCCTCGAAAGTACAATTTCGCGCCTAGTAATTAATATACCAAATATTTTTTGAATAACCTAGAAATCTGTATAAAGATTAAAATAATATCAGCACGCTTGAAAAAAAATAAAAACCAATACTATGTGGTGAAAAAGGGAGCCATCAAAAACGCTATTCTAAATATGAAATAAATTCTATTTATTTTAATATAATATATATTTAAAAGTTTTTTTTTTCAATGTCCACCTGTGTTAACATCCGTCAATTCAGGCATTTAGAGGGCGATTTTGTTGGCCTCTCTTTCAGGGGCACCTCTCTTTTAGGTGGGCTAACGTCGCTCCCACAGATAGTACAGAGAAGGAAAGAACATCCATGCCTTGCCCGGGATTCGAACCCAGAACCTTTCTGATGCAAGGACAGTTCCCTGCCCCCTACGCAGGCCGGTCGGCTACATAGTTTAAAGTAGTACATGAAATTTCAAACTGATTTCCAAAATAAACTGGTATCCCCGACATGGGTTTAAAAGAAATAAATTTAAAATGAAGAATTCTTTTGTAACGTTTCGTTATTCCTTTATCATGTGATGCATTTGCTTTAAGTAAATAGTAGCGTTATTTCAAAAATAAATTTTAAAGAAATTTTCTTGAAAAGCTATAATTTATCTAAAATTTAACTTAGGATTCGATTCTTAATTTTTTACAGGACATAAGCAAAGGTATTATTTTAATACCAACACATTTGTGAGATAATGCAAAGAACTTTAAAAATTTAACTTTCTTTAGGTTCCTTCTTTCTTTCTTTAACTTTCTTCTTTAACTTAAAAATTTAACTTTTAACTAGGACACCATGATAGTCATAAAATTCCCGTTAATAACTTGAAATAACTTTTAATAGGTAGTTCAATATGCTCTTTTTAAAGCTATATTAGTTCGGAGAAATTGAAAAATGAAAAGGATTTTTTAAACTAGAAAAAAAAAGAAGAAAACAGCTTAATTTTTTAGATTTTTATTGAACTTCCTTTTTTTCTCGACCAAAACAAAATGTAATATATTTACCAATTATCAAGTACTGGAATGATTTAATCAACATGTCAAATTCCAAGCAATTACAAAGCTTTACACTTATAGGTTAAATATAAATCGAGAAATCTTGCACGCATAATGATAAAAAACGTGATTTGAGGAAAATATATTTAAAGACAAAACTTTGAATAAATAACTTTAAAGATAAAACGTGAGTTTGAAGACTATCCCAATTTAAAAAATGGGTCTATTATTTTTTGTTTTGTTTCCAGTGAGCGATTGTTAGTACTTTTGCTGTAACTTTGAAAGTTTTCTGTGCATTATACTATACATGGTGACAAATTACTCAGAATAAAACAAATCATCACACATATCTTTTCAAAATTTCGATAATTTTGTGAGAAAAAACAATTTAGGCCTTTTAAAAAGAAAAGTGTAGCTTCCGTTTGTTTTTCTGTCGTCGCAATTTCGAAGGCTATTTCATAACTGCTGTGAATTAGAAAGCTGTTATGACTGTCAAGTTTAATGTATCTTTAGCCAGCGTCTTCTGTGTTTATTCTGAAAAGGGTGCAAAACGATAATAGTGAAAAAAAATCCATAGTTTTCAGAAAATGATAAGCGCTTGCGGTTTCATTTTTTTAATATTTAAAAACCTATTCCGTTATCTGATCTCATACAAATTTGTAAAAAAATGAGAATGATTCATTGATTTTGACAATTTGAATGTAGGTAGAGAGATGTCGTAAAATCGGCAGTTTTTATTAAAAAAAAAATTAACTTTTAAAATGTTTTAGATATTTGTTCGTTCTAAAGTCCAGATAATTCTTCCCAGCATATAGTTTAAAATTATTGCTTGATTTCAATACTAAGGCACTTAAAAAACTGTCAGTTATTATATACTGAGTATGACAATCGCTGATAAAGGTGAGAACTGAACTTGGGTAACAACCTGAGTGAGAAAAAAAACTTTCAGCTTATTCGAGAGTAGCACGCAGGAACGTTGTGACCAATTAGTGTAGCTGACCTTGCCAGACCATGTTTGTATCGAAGATTAAATTCTTATTGTTGTTTATTTAACTTGGCTGGCTCTTTATTAACGTATTTTATTATCTAGTTTTCTATTTATCAACTATGCTTTATTTCAGCGTTTTAGAATATCTGTATTAGTTTAATCAATGCTTGTAGATTAGACCAGTGGTTCCCAATTTTTTTTCCGGTTGCGGAACTCTTTATGATATTTTGGGGGGAACACCAACTTTATAAATGAAGTTCATTAACGATTGTTAAGATACGAACTATAAAAAAAGACAACGAATTAATATAGAAGAAACTGCATCATTTTTTGGTATATATTTGGTATTTAAATAATTTCATAAAATTAACCGAAATATTAAATAAGTAATAGATCATCGGTTGAATGCAAACATAGTTCCAATTTTCAAAAATCAGAGAAAAATGATCCTTTATTCTTCAATTTAGCCATTTTATTTTGAATTGTAAAGTTCGATGATAAATAATGATGCAATTATTTGTAAATGCATATTCTTTTCGTATTTGCTTTCCGTTTTCGTATTTTCTCAAAACAATATATTGTTGTTGGAAAGTATAAATATTTATTTAAATGTTGTTATTTCTTTTTTCATTTTTCGGAATATATTCGGTATTTAAATAATTTCATACAATTAACCGAAATATTTTTTAATAAATTATAGATCATCGGCTGGATAAAAACATAGTTGCAGGTTTTAAAACTCAAAACTGGTTAAAAAAAATTCCGAACCTATGGAACCTCAGTGACTTTTTCGCGGAACTCTAAGGTACCGTGGAACACCTTTAGGGAACATACGCCAGAAAGATTTGCAAAAAATATTATCTAGCGTTGCTGCTTCTAAAGAAACACTAAAAGCTGAGTAAAGAGAGTGCAGAGTGAAGATAAAAACAAAATAGGTTTGCGTACGTTCTTACTTGAGCTTTCCGCAGGTAGGTGGACTGGTGACGATCTCCTGATGACTGTGAATGTGGTGCATGACGTCGCACGTCATCCAAAGGCTCTCGACTGTCAACGTAGTCGTCGTCGTAAGGAACTCCACCTGCAGATAAAAAAAAAGAATTTTTAACCACCAGCAAAAACATTAACGAACTGAAGTTTCGAATCATAAAACTGGTCCAATAGAGTGGTGCTTTGTAGCATTCTATAGCACAATATGAATTGCTAAAGTTTTCACGTTTCGTATCAAAACAACGATCTGTAGCGTATAGTGCCGATTTGACGTCTTGATCATAAGACTGGTGGGCTGAATCACATAATATCGAATAAATGCTTAAAGGTTTTCACGAAAACAACTATCTGTAGCTTACGGTGTGAATCTGATGTCTTTAATCCTAATATTCATCACAAGACAGACGCTTTGAATCATAATATCGAATATTTGTATAAAGATTTTCATCAAATCAATAATCTGTAGCTTATAGTGTCGTCTTGAATTATAATATTGATCATAAGACTAGTGCGCTGAATCATAACATCAAACAAAAAAAAATGTATGAAAGTTTTCAACAAAACAGCTATCTGTAGCTTACGGTGTCGATCTAACATTTTGAATTATGTTATTGATCACAAACAGTGTTTCCATATCTAATATTAATCGTTTAAAAACGATGTATAACAAATTTATAGAAAAAAAAGGGTTTCAAGGTAGAATACATAAACCTTTGAATATATGTAAGACAGGCTTGTTCTATGTAAAAAGCTGGGAAGATTGTCTCTTATTTTATAGGTACTTATAATATTGTATATTATATTATACTAGCTGTACCCTTCTTGAGTTGCAATGCTTTCAGTTTGAATTTTAATTTTGTATTTAAGTGTGTAAATGAGATTTGCGATTATGATTTGTAATAAGAATTTTATTTAATGGTGAAAAAACCAGTGATAGTCTCAACAGTTAATTCTCTAGGATATCGTTAGTGCACTTTCAAGCAGACATGTATGGTGATGCACACGGACCATGAAATATATTTCGGATGATGATCTGAAAAAAGTCTGGATCAATGGCGACATCAGGTATTTCTGCTGATATGAGCTGACCAATTNATATCGTTAGTGCATTTTCAAACAGACATGTATGGTGATGCACACGCACCATGAAACATATTTCGGATGATGATCTGAAAAAAGTCTGGATCAATGGCGACATCAGGTATTTCTGCTGATATGAGCTGACCAATTTGTCATGGTGTGATTTTTTCAATTAGCCAAATCATGTGGCAATTCTCTTTTTTTGCCATTCAATAGAATACATCAAACACCGTGTCACCCCAAAAACATGACGCTTCGCAATAAAACCAAGTATAGAGCCTAATATTTGTTTTAAGTCACGTGCGGTAATGCATCATGAAGATCCGATGATGTTTGAGTAGGCTACAAAAGCTCCTTAATTTTAGCTCAAGTAGGGTTCCATGTGAATGTAATAAATGAATCTGGCTGCCCATATGCACACCGATACTTGTAGCAAAGAATGAAGTCATTTGGAAACACGAACGTACCAACATATATTCGCCAAGAAAAGTTTCTATTGATTTGCTTGACCCGATAACACCGTTTATAATGGCTCGGCTGGAGACGTTAAATCTGTTAGTTTCACTTTGCCTCCAGAACAGCAAATTTCAGCTGTTTCATTCTTAAATTTGAGTGTACTACAAAACATGCATAATTGATCCATTTTTTCGATGATGACGGTTGGGTGAAGACTATAGTTGGTTGTCGGATCATTATAGTGAAATGTACTGAGATTCAAATCAGAGTATTGGCAGCGTCTGAATAGTGAAGTGCGTTCTTAATTGATTTTCATTCTTGCATCTCGTTGCTCTGATACTTCCGACGAACGGGCTAGAGTAGTGCGTAGTTGATTCGTTAACAGTCTTCTTTCGCGTTGCTCTGATGTTTCCAACGAACGGGCTTGAATAGTAGTAGTTGATTCGTTAATAGTCTTCTTTCGCGTTGCTCTGATGTTTCCAATGAACGGGCTTGAATAGTAGTAGTTGATTCGTTAATAGTCTTCTTTCGCGTTGCTCTGATGTTTTCAACGAACGGACTTGAGCAGTGCGTAGTCGATTTGTTAACAGTCTTTGCTCCAGTTGCTCAGACTCGATTCTTGATTAGTTTCAAGTCTTTTTTCCCGTTGCTCCGATGTATCTGAAGCACGGGTAGTTCTCTTTTTGCGTGCTTGAGATGACTAAGAACGATTCGTTTAGGCTGCATATTTTTGCAAATATTCTCTCTCAAACAAAAAGAAATGTAAAAGTTGACAGCTGTCGCGAATTTGCTAAATCGAAAATTCACATATTTATTTTAGATAATAAAAAAAGCAATAAAAATGAAATAAATAAGAAATATAATAATGATAAAATTTAAAACAAAAATCTATTTCTTAAATGAAAGAAATAAAATGAATGTGAATTCGAAAACTTTGTAATAATAAACAATCTGATAGTTTTCAAATGACAACTGTCAGCAATGAAACCTTCAAAAACTATATTTACTTGTGCTAACCTAATTTTTTATTTTTTTTATCTACAATGGCAGACATGAAAGACAAATTTGTTGCTGAGAACAATACAGAGAAAGAACAAAAACGGAAACAAGAACTACATAAAGAGTCTATAGGTCATTAAAAAAGTATCTCGCCTGCCAATAACGTTCCCACAAGAGCCCAGGAGGAAGTGCAGAGCAACGTATCAGATGGTTAGCGTCCATTTCTTCTTGCAGGTTACATAATGGACAAAAGGGGCTTGAAAAGATTTTGATTCTGTATAAGTGTTTTGATAAACAGTCATGGCCAGTGGCAAGGCGAAAAAGAGCCACAGATTTTTCTCCTGGCCATGACGGAATATCTTTAATTCCTTACAGTCAGTCCTTATCTTTATTTGCTTCTTGGAGTTTTGCCTCAAATGTTGTTCGAAGAGAGATTTTTATTAGCCTTTTTGCGGTGTAGAAAGGAACTGGCTTAAGAGATATTTGTAAAATCTTGGCGGCTTTTTTGGCCAAGAAATCTGCAGTTTCGTTACCTTGAAGTCCACAGTGCGCTGGTACCCATTGCATGGCGAAATTTTTGTAGTGTTGGTCAAGCCTGTGAAGGGCTTGACGACAATGTAAAATGTCGGCAGATGCGGGGGCTTGGGAGGAAGCAGTAGCTTGGAGTGCGGCTTTGGAGTCAGAGAGGATGACTATGTTATCGAATTTCTCAAGGTGATTCTGAAGTTGTGATAGAGCAACGCTTATTGCCGATACTTCTGCATCGAAGGCTGTTCTGGACGAACCGAACGGGGTGTAAAATGTAACCTAAAATTGCATACTAAATATAAATAATTGTTGAAAACGTGCAATTTGAATGACATTTGCTTTTGCCTTTATTTTTATTAAACATTTTTCACAACTTGCGATCGCAACATTCGAGTACGCCGCCCTCTAACGGAAGCCTGAAAATATCGGGCATTAATTCAATCATAACCATTGGCAATGACGGACGCCATTTTCTTAGCAGCAAATAAGAAGCAAAATTTCCCTAAGGAAACGGTAGAAGAACTTGAAAAAACTAACCAGAACATGTCAAACATTGAAGCAGAACACGCCAAGCATTTGAAGAATAATTTCTCAGTAATTTTTACCTTTCTATTACCAACAACATAACTTCGGATTTCATGATGACTTGCTGTTACAGATGTGTGTATTACGGTAAAATTATTTTTTCTGTCTTAAATTCATTACAAATTAAAGTGGAGTCAACATTGCTCTCGTCATTTCAATGAATAAATGTGAATTCAGAACGTACAGATCTGTAATAGTTATAGAATATTCTTCTTCTTTATAGAATAGTAAATATTTCTGAATCTATGTAATTCGGAAAACAACAATAAAGAATCCTCCGAATTACTTAAATTAAATAGTATCATTTGTGCTGATTATTAATAAATTTTTATCGTTTTCTTGGTAATAATTTTTTAGTTTTGAAAGAATAATTTCAACTAGAATTCAGCTATTCTGTTTTCAAGCTACGTTATTGAAATTCCTATCGAGATCATGCAATTATTAAATTTTGATTTATTGTTACCTAAAAGTAATGAAGGAATAATCTATGTAGATATTATTTGAAAATAAAATTTTCAAACGATGAATATTTCATTTGGAATTCTCCGGATTTATAAAGAAGGTGAGTGTTATGATTTTCATAATAAAAAATTTGCTTGTAATTTTTTTTTCTTATTTGACAATAGTTCTCCACAGAATGGTTTTACGTCTGACTAAGAACTATAAAAATGAAAAAAGGAAACAATATGACAGTTTTTTTATTTCAATATGAGGAATTTTTAAAATCGTTTTTTTTTTATCCTAAGAATTCTTTGTTTTACGTTTTTTGGTTTATGATTTTTAGATAAAAATTGTCGTCAAAATAATTTTTTTGAAAAATTAAATGGTATAACATTATGTGTTTATGTATACTTCTTGTATATTCAAATGTTTGAAGTAATATGATTCAGAAAAGTATGGAATAAAAATTCGGTGCTTATGTCTTAACGCCACCGCTGCTACAGATTTGGCAGTTTTTAAGTGCCGCCAATCTGCACCTAAAATTTTTGCGACAAATCATAAAATAAAACACTTTATTTAAAATCAAAGTAGTCAATCGGTTTTCGGTGAAAAATGGGCAGATATAAAGTTTAACACAGATTCAAAACAAACCCTACTTTCGTTCACCTGATGATGTCGCCATATTAACGCTAATAAATAGGATTTCAAATGAGATAACATTTCCAAAACGTACGTTTACCAAGATAAAGTTTCATGTCATGGGAATTGGTACATTTTCGCTTTTTTGGTAAAATATTTCGCTCCTGAAAAAATAAAATTGCATCTGGTTTTGTTTATGGTAAATCCCAAGGACGAATTTTCGTAGCACTAAAAAATGGCGACAAAAAAGAAATTTTTTTTTATTCTTTATTTTACGTCTTTTAGTTTCGAAATAATGATTTTTATTGAAACTTGAAATTTTTTGATAAATATTGTTGCCAAAAAACTTTTTTTTACAAAGTTAAATTTCATAAAATTATGATGCTTTCGTATACTTTTTGTTTATTTTAATTTTTGAAGTAATATGATTCTTAAAACTATGGAATGTAAGGTTTAAATAGGTCTTTCATGTTATATCATTAAATTTAGTAAAACTACTTCTCTGGCATTAGGTTTTAACTCTTATAAGAAGATGCATATTTTTTTCTGTTTATTTACAAATATTTTTTCCGATGTGTTTTGGATGTTCCTTCTCTAAAAAAAGAGATACCATTTTGCTTTCGCTTGCATAAAAAAGATTATTAAACATTTTTCTTTTTTTAAGTTTAATAAGCCACAATAAAGAAGGATCGTTACAATGCTACACGCTACATTAAAGACGTCTCCAGAGTAACTGAATGACTGTTCTTATAGAAAACGCAGGTATTCGTCTCATACAACAACGCCTACTAATGTTCATAGGAATCGCGAATACTAAATCCGTGATGAAACCAATAGTTACGAAATCTATTCTCGTTGAGTTCACGTGCTTGTGCTCACCTGACATAAAGAATCTTGCGCGAATTGGGTATAACATAGCCTACGTCACAGGTTGTGTTGTTCCTACTAAATTTAACCCATGAACGGCATTTTCTGCGAGCCTAACTTCAAGCCACAAATAAACAAACGAAGTGTTCGATGGTTTAAATAGCTGCTCGCCAGATTTTATTGCATTATAAAGAAAAGTTATTGAAACTAAATACAACTAAATGAACAACAACAACTAAAACAAATAACAACAACTACTAATAACAATAACTAAATAAACAACAACTAAATTCCATTCGTTTAGCATTGCGTCATATGTTGTTCCTACTAAATCGAAGTAGTTGTGTTTTTTTCATATTATACCCAATTATAATTAAATTCTAAAGTATATGTAATTTACTTTTCTAAATGAATAGAGCTATAAGATAGAAAATATCACTGTTGTCATCTTCAAGATATTTGAGAACTGAATCGCTTATAGCAAAATTTAAAACAATGGGTCAATGGCTAACTTTTAACCAATCAGAAAATTCCATTTCTATTTTCGTTGATACCGCTGGAACGCTTTGTCGCAGAATGTTCTAATGTTGACAGTGACCTTCCTCGTGCTTTGAACTATCTGTATGCCAAGTTTCATAGCTTTCTGTCGGATGGTTTAGGAGTCTATGAAGGGCAGACAGACAGGCAGGCAAGCAGGCAGGCAGGAAGGAACACATTCATTTTTATATATATAGATTAATAACTTTTAATTAAAAAGTATTTGAGTGAATTTTATGTATAGTTTGCGTTAGTTATGCTTATATTATCACCACCTACTTTAATTTTAGTTTTATAGTCTTGCACATATGAAACATATATTAATGTAAGTATGAAATATTATACCAGTGTCAAATATTATGTGATTTTGTAGGAGTGCCCAAATCTGGAAAAGTTTGGGAACCCCTGGGTTAAGGTAACTTTTATTTCGAAAGAAATACTTACTGAAAATAAATGAAAATGTTTCTTTGTTTCTATTGACTATGGCAGAAAGAATGCTTGAGAAACCAAGTGAATTGAAGGCAGAGGATTCATTTCTTGTTTTTCTGAGGGACCACCCATGGCCAGGAATACGATTTCAGCCCCAAACACGTGTCTCATTCCATTTTGACCTGAACCAGAGAAGGACCCATCTCCAATTCAGTATCCCTAGAGGTATTGATTTGTTATGGGAACTTGGAGGACTTAGTGACTCCGACAGATTTAACGCGCACATGTCTCCATTTAATTAACGGGGCTTTTCAGGCGGCGATATTGATGAAATAATGATTTAAAAATAATGCTTTGAACAAAAACAATAATGAATAATATGCATTAGAAATATTTGGATGTGGTGTTCATCATCAGTGATAATTTTAAATGGGATAAGAAACAAAGTGATTAATTTAAAAAGTCATAAAAGGCCCAGGTTCTCACATTTGAATTTATTGCACGAATGAAATCTACTATCACTAATATCTAACATCCATATAAAAGATGTAAATTGGGATATTTTTTAAACCTTTTGATTCAAAGATATGGTAAATCACATTATGGCTCAATACTTACATGNATCATTGTGAAATGTACTGAGATTCAAATCAGAGTATTGGCAGCGTCTGAATAGTGAAGTGCGTTCTTGATTGATTTTCATTCTTGCATCTCTACATAAAGAGAACTACATAAAGAAAGAGTCTATAGGTCATTAAAAATGTATCTCGCCTGCCAATAACGTTCCCACAAGAGCCCAGGAGGAAGTGCAGAGCAACGTCTCAGATGGTTAGCGTCCATTTCTTCTTGCAGGTTACATAATGGACAAAAGGGGCTTGAAAAGATTTTGATTCTGTATAGGTGTTTTGATAAACAGTCATGGCCAGTGGCAAGGCGAAAAAGGGCTACAGATTTTTCTCCTGGCCATGACGGAATATCTTTAATTCCTTACAGCCAGTCCTTATCTTTATTTGCTTCTTGGAGTTTTGCCTCAAATGCTGTTCGAAGAGAGATTTTTATTAGCCTTTTTGCGGTGTAGAAAGGAACTGGCTTAAGAGATATTTGTAGAATCTTGGCGGCTTTTTTGGCCAAGAAATCTGCAGTTTCGTTACCTTGAAGTCCACAGTGCGCTGGTACCCATTGCATGGCGACATTTTTGTAGTGTTGGTCAAGCCTGTGAAGGGCTTGACGACAATGTGAAATGTCGGCAGATGCGGGGACTTCGGAGGAAGCAATAGCTTGGAGTGCGGCTTTGGAGTCAGAGAGGATGACTATGTTATTGAATTTCTCAAGGTGATTCTGAAGTTGTGATAGAGCAATGCTTATTGCCGATACTTCTGCATCGAAGGCTGTTCTGGACGAACCGATCGGGGTGTAAAATGTAACCTAAAATTGCATACTAAATATAAATAATTGTTGAAAACGTGCAATTTGAATGAAATTTGCTTTTGCCTTTATTTTTATTAAACATTTTTCACAATTCGCGATCGCAACGTTCGAGTACGCTCTCTAGCGGGAGCCTGAAAATTTCGGGCATTAATTCAATCATAACCATTGGCAATGACGAACGCCATTTTCTTAGCAGCAAATAAGAAGCAAAATTTCCCTAAGGAAACGGTAGAAGAACTTGAAAAAACTAACCAGAACATGCCAAACATTGAAGCAGAACACGCCAAGCATTTGAAGAATAATTTCTCAATAATTTTTACCTTTCTATTACCAACAACATAACTTCGGATTTCATGATGACTTGCTGCTACAAGCGTGTGTATTACGGTAAAATAATTTTTTCTGTCTTAAATTCATTACAAATTAAAGTTGAGTCAACATTGCTTTCGTCATTTCAATGAATAAATGTGAATTCAGAACGTACAGATCTGTAATAGTTATGGAATATTCTTCTTCTTTATAGAATAGTAAATATTTCTGTATCTATATAATTCGGAAAACAACAATAAAGAATCCTCCGAATTACTTGAAATAGTATCATTTGTGCTGATTATTAATAAATTTTTATCGTTTTCTCGGTAATAATTTTTTAGTTTTGAAAGAATAATTTCAACTAGAATTCAGCTATTCTGTTTTCAAGCTACGTTATTGAAATTCATATCGAGATCATACAATTATAAAATTTTGATGCATAGTATGTTATCTAAAAGTAATGAAGGAATAATCTATGTAAATATTATTTGAAAATCAAATTTTCAAATGATGAATATTTCATTTGGAATTCTCCGGATTTATAAAGAAGGTGAGTGTTATGATTTTCATAATAAAAAATTTGCTTGTAAATTTTTTTTTCTTATTTGACGATAGTTCTCTACAGAATGGTTTTACGTCTGACTAAGAACTATAAGAAGGAAAAAAAGAAACAATATGACAGTTTTTTTATTTCAATATGAGGAATTTTTAAAATCGTTTTTTTTATCCTAAGAATTCTTTGTTTTACGTTTTTTGGTTTATGATTTTTAGATAAAAATTGTCGTCAAAATACTTTTTTTGAAAAATTAAATGGTATAACGCTATGTGTTTATGTATACTTCTTGCATATTCAAATGCTTTGAACAAAAACAATAATGAATAATATGCATTAGAAATATTTGGATGTGGTGTTCATCATCAGTGATAATTTTAAATGGGATAAGAAACAAAGTGATTAATTTAAAAAGTCATAAAAGGCCCAGGTTCTCACATTTGAATTTATTGCACGAATGAAATCTACTATCACTAATATCTAACACCCATATAAAAAATGCAAATTGGGATATTTTTGAAACCTTTTGATTCAAAGATATGGTAAATCACATTATGGCTCAATACTTACATGAGAACATAACTTCTTAAATTTGGGAATTCGATTGTTTTCAAAATACCACATGAAATGTTTTTTTCCGTAAGCTCTTCTTTATCTCCTACGTTTTTCAATAAGATCTTTATATTTTATGTCCTTCAATAAGTTCTTTATCTCTTGCATCTAACAATAAGATCCATTTATCTTACGTCGTTCAATAATATTTTAATATCTCAGATCTTACCATAAGATCTTTATATTTTATTTCTTTAATAAGACCTGCATATCTTACGTCTTATAAGAGATCTTTATGTCTTACGGTGGGGACTGACAGCAAATTTAGGGTCAGCAGTATTTTATGTCACACATGATTAATATTTTATTACGTTACCTGATCTGGAGTAGTGCTGTTTGGAGGGTGGATCACTGTAAGGCTGATGGTGCAGTGGTGTGCTGCCTAGGTCTTGCAGAAGTTTCCGAGACCGGGTAGGCATATCTGGTAGCAGAGGCATGGGCGCTAGATCCGCCTCGGAGTCTGTCACCGGGGGTGAGTAATCGTAGAATGGGTCATTAAGGGGATCTAAGGGGTCATCCTCCAAATATCCGTATTCGTACTGCCAGGGCTGGCTATGAGAACGACTAACCCCATCATATCTGAAAAAAATTGAACAAACTCCATATATATATATAGTATATATATTAATAAAAAAGGGAAGCACGCATCTGTAAAACTCTTTTAACTCAAAATTAAGTTTAAACTAAAGAGCTTGGTTGAAAATCTTGGATAAGGTACAAATTAGCGATAATTTCTGCCCCTCCCCGAGTGAAATATGCCCCATTAAAGTTTTAGTTCATTTAAACTAACTAATTCGTAAAGTAACGAAGACGCCTGGGCTTCTAATGAAATTACCTAGCTGATTAGAGTTTTGTAGTTAGCGAGGTGCATTGCAAAATGATAACAGCAGTTTGTAAAGAGCCGTATTATGCAATCAGCCAACAACAGGCGTGGCGAATTAGAGAATAGAGCAATCGCCTGCCAATTAGGTGACCTAGATACGAACCCCAGTGATGGTTTTACCACGGTCCCCACCGACCGCAGTGCTGACTTAAAATATCCTTAATGGTAAACTTATCATGTGTTAGAATTGTCTTTCTATTTAGTTAAATTAGAAAGATTTTTGTGGTTTTCCTTCCCATGAAAACATCATGCGGGTCCATCAGAACGTCCTCCATAAAGCTTGTCCAACTGCTTGATCTAAAAGTTCTCTTGTATTCTGGGTTGGGTTAAAAATTATGAACTATAGAGTTAAATAGTGACTATCACAAGTCTAAATATGACTCAGCTATTCAACGCCTTTTACAAATTGAAATATATATTAGTCTATGGTGTATATACATTTCATTAAAAAAAGTATTTATTTGTTCACTAGTTGAACGGAAAATAGTTTTACTTTCATCGTTAAAGCATTGACTATGACCCTTTGTTAAAATATTCAACGACCTCATATGAAACACATCTCTAGACGTCATTTCTCATATTAGAGAGGAGAAGAGAGACAATAATGCTCAACGAAGAGGAAGAACTACAATGTAATAATTAAACACGCAACAGCGCCATCTTTAGCTCATCGCGGAAAGACTATTTTCTCAGCTGACAACAGTCAAAAGGATTAATTTATGATACAAGTTCAGGACCAGACGGGTTTAGCTATTGTGTAAGGTTGTACAGGTGTTTTGTTAAAGTTTAGCCACGTAAGCAAGTTTCTTGAGAGTTTTCATAATTAATTTCGCATTTAAGTAACTCAAGACGAATCAGTTTGGGGACATTACAGGTTAATTAAGAAGCTGAAAAGAGGCCGTTTACAATTGTTTCTTATGAAACTGACTTAATGAATAACGAGGGTAGTAAAGGGTTTTCTTTCTTTTCTTTCAACTTCAAAGCTAACAAGCACTGGCAGAAGTTTAACTGATATTCAGTTCAAATGGAATGATGCCAATCTAAAGTAACAAAAAAGTTGGTTTAAGATTTTTATTACTTGGTTAAGGAGAAGAGAGGATTTTTCGTATCATTTACAGAAACTAGTTTTGGCATCTGAACAGTGCATTTTCAAATTTATGTTAATTTTCATTTAGCATTTATAGATCAGTTACGCACTTCGTCACTCAAACATGGCTAAGCACTTAGCCTTATTTTTAGTGTTCTATCTTTTAACGACCACGTTGGCTAGAATACCAGGTAATTTTGACTCTGGTCAGATGACGTAGACAACGCCTGTGCTGGTACCCCTTTCTCTGAACTTCAGTCAACGAGAGGACTTTCAGCCACGGCAGATTTAACGTTGCTGCCAGCAGTTATTTTGTTGAATTCAGCTATTCAACCAGTGGTGTGGGGCACTTCAAATTTAAGCAAAGCAACAAAATTAATTTGCCGAGCTTAAAATGAATATGAATTTTAAGCAAAAGCATATTACTTCGTTTAACATGTTCATTGCCAGCCGTGTGCAGGTGGTTATACTATAATTTATCATTGAAGAATGGTATTCTATAAAGATAGAACCAAAGTTAAATTTTCTTATTTTAGCAACCATTTTTGTTTTATTATAAGTTTATTTTAATAAACAGTATGCTCCCACGGTTTGCCTGATGCCAAGGGGACTCTAACCAATGATCCGTCTACCACTGCGGCTATTTCACGTCAGGACTGTGGTCGGTGCAAGCCGGATGCGGATTCGTATCGACCAGCCATCGCTGGGTATCGAACCCGGACCACCTTTTTGGGAGGTGAACGCTTTATTCCCTGAGCCATCGCGGCTCTGTTATGAGGCTTTATAATGATCTGTGACTTTATAAGAAAAAGGAGACAGCTGACCACTCGGACAAAATTTAGTAGTAAACAAATTTGATACAATCACAGCTTATATTTTAATTTAACAAATCAAATAGAATGTTAGCAGGCAAGACAAAAGACATTTTTTCTTACTAAAATATTTTGCTATGATATACTAAAATGATATAACAAAAGAAGAAGGATAATCGGATTTGTATATTTTCCTTGCTTAAATATTTTGCTATTTTAATCAGATCCCTTGAACTGATATCCCGCAAGACATCCCATAGATATATTTTCCTGGCCTCAATATTTTTCTAGTGTTATAAAAACTCCTGAAATGATAGTATGTAAGATAAACGATGGTTGGATATATTTTCAAGATAAAATATTTTGCTATGATATTAAGATCTCCGAAAATTATTTCATGCAAAATAGAGGATATTCGGATACATTCTATCGGCTTAAATATTTTGCTATAATAATAAAAACTTTTAAATTGGTTATCATGCAAAAAAACATGCTTGGATACATTTTCTTGAATAAGATGTATTTCTTTACTATAATACAATACAATACAATTTCTTTATTATAATAAAGAAATGGTAGCAAACAAAATAAATGATGTCCATAAGAATATGGCATACTCTTTGCTAGATAGTGAAAGACAAGTATAGAAATACACGTACTATAATTTTGATTTGACCAGACAAGAATCTTTATCATTGCCTAAACACCTTTTTGGCGTTTTATAGTCACTGAGGGAGATTCTCATCTAGAGAATCGAATGTCACTTTCTGCACTTGATTTGAGCTTCAAAATGAATGATAGTTGGATACATTTTCTAAACTTTAACCAGCGCTATGATATCAAGATCTAAAATGATAGCATGCAAGATTAGACGATGCTACTGTTACGTCAAGCATTCAGTTATCATAATTTTGCGATCTACCTACACTTGTATGTCATTTTGATTTATGTTGCTAAGTTAACTTTCAAAAAATTCTATGGCTGACAACAGCACTTTTATTTTTTAAGTTGTTTATTTTTTATTTCTTTTAGAATTCGTTTTCCTTTTTCAGTGAAATGTTTTTAACCTAGCAGAATTCTTTGCCGACTGTTCTGTCTATATATGAAGAAAATAAAGTAAATATTTAAGTGTTGTGAAAAGTATCTTATTTAGTTGTACAAAGTACTGCAGCTACAGTGTATATATTTCTATCTAAAATGTATTGATGGGATACTAAGATCTTAAATGAGAGCATGCAAAATTGAAGATGGTTCCACAAATTTTCCTTTTATGGCAAAAATATATCGTTAATTGAAGATTAAACTGTTGAATTTGCATGGAGGAAAGTGATTCTCGAATGATACGCAGGCGGAAGAGGAAGAGTAATCTAGGTCATGGTAGATGCCCATAGATGTAAGTAGATGATGGTTGGAAATATTTTCCTTGTTTCAGTTTGTTGCCATCATATCAAGATCTCAATTTATAGCGCGTAAGATAAACGATGTTTGGATAGATTTTTCAGGCTGAAATATTTTGTTATTTGAAGATTAGACTGATGAATTTACTTTGAGGAAAGTGATTCTCAATTGATACGTAGGTGGAAAAGGAAGAGTAATCGAGGTTGCGGTAGATGTCCATAGACGTAAGTAGATGATGGTTGGATATATTTTCCTAGTTAAATATGTTGCAATATCAAAATCTGAATTTATAGCGTGCAAGATAAACAATGTCTGGACATATCTTTCCGGATAAAATATTTTGTTATTTGAAGATGGATGAATTTACCTTGAGGAAAGTGACCTCGAATGATGTGGCGATACGTAGGCGGAGGAGGAGGAGTAAGGGTGGCTGCGGTAGACGTCCATGGCCTGCAAAGCGTCCTGGTCCCGGGTCGACTCCTGCGACGACCCTCCACTCTCCAAAGAAATGGGGCTGGTGTAAAGGCGGTCGCCATACGCTGGGCTCACATAGCCTAGAAAAATAATTCTCATTTAGTTGCAATCAAAAGAGATAAATAGAAGACAATGTTAAAGGAAGTCCCAAAATGTTGCGTTTAAGAACATGTTGATGGGGTCTAGACTAATATTACGAATATGACAATTCGACAAATGGTAAATACGCGGTTTTGGCTTTTGCCATGTTATGCTACAAGATTTTAGATGATGTGCGATTAGCTTTAATAAATAGAAGAAAGTGTTTAGCAAATATCAATGAATAGAATCAATGAAAAATAAAAAGATTCGAAAATAGTTTTCTTATATTTACATAGGGTAAACCCACCAGTGAAGGAACACACCCCAGTGAATGAACATTTGATAAATATTTTTTAAAATTAATATTTTAAACTTTTCTACTTAGATTGATTGGTAACAGTAGCTTACTACCTAACAATAGGAAGTCATCGAACAATGCATTGGGTTGCCTGATCATATAGTCTTCTCTGGAAAATTTTTTGAATTTGTTAGTATCTGTTCAGCATCTTGATTCTATGACAAACTTTTAAGGTCACTGTTTGTATTTATTATTTTAAAGTGCAATTAATTGCATACAATAATTCTATTTTCCTCACTGTGAAAAGAAGAATTCAAAATGTAGTTATTGGAGTTACGTTTTATTTATTTTAAGCATCATCTCATAAGCAAGTATTGAGATTAGGGGTTGTTTATTAACTGGATTACCAAACGATGAAAAACCAATGAATGAACAAGTGTTCCTAAACTGGGATTTTTTCAAGTTAATGAAATTAAAAGAAAATTTTTGATTTTCTTGCACTTTTGGTCATATTATACATCAAAATTATGTTAAAAATACAAAAAACAAGTTCTAACCAGTGAAGGAACAGGCATGTTCCTTCACTGGGAATAGATTTCCCAGTGAATAAACAGTAGGTGTGAAATATGATTTTGCGTGGTTCTAAGATAAATAGTAGTTCTGCGATATAGAGGACACTCAAAATTCTGTTAAATGTTGCATGAATAATTCTTAAAATAATTTCATTTCAAAATGCTAATTTAATTGCTTAATTTATGGAAAGAATTATAATCATAATTTATTTATAATTTATCTTTATAAATGTTGTGGTTAGTTCCATCAAACGTTAGACAGCTTAATAAACTATGTTTACTCATCGAAAACTAAATAAATATATTGATAAAAACTTGAATAGAACATTTTTTGCTGGGTTTTGTGACAATAATTAGCTAAATTATTATCGTAATGCGGTCTTTAACGTCATGACGGATACGAGTAGGAAACATCTATCTGAAGACAGCCATCCAGGTGAAAAATGGATAAAGTTTTTTTAAGTCGACATCCACTGATAACTCAGTGCAATGCGTAGATAATTTCAAAAGGCAAAACTTCCCTTTCTAAAACTGAGAATAATATTCGAGAGTGGTTTTAAGAACTTTAGAGGAATCTTCAGGAGGGAAGTAGCCTTGGCATCCTTTTAGAATGTGATCGCATTCAGGTGTTGAATACTGCACTTAAACGGGAAAAATCTTCGGCCCAAAAAATTATAAGGATTTATATTCTATAGTTCCTAGGAATGAAAAAGGACGGACAACAGTTTTGGTTAACATTTCAGCTAGTGGAAAAAAGTACCTCCATCGATAGTTTTCTTTACTGAAGAATTCCTCCAGGTATTACAGAATCAGTTCCTGCTATATACTTCATTGGATTCATGAAGTGAATCTATGACCACAGCAACATTTTACGAATATATTGCAAATGCTTCTTTCTACCCATGGCTAATAGAAAATTCTATTACATTAATTATTTTGCTTCTTTTGGATGGGCATAAATCTCATATCAATTTGAAACTGAGTAAGTTTTGTTTATCAAAACAAATTCGCTGGTTTAACTTTCTACCTAATTCTACTTGTGTGTTCCAGCCTTGTGATGTAGGTGTATTTCGAGCTTTGAATTCTTAAATGAAACTTCAGTTAGATCTTGAAAAAAAAAGTCGTAAAACAATATGAAGAGGTAATTTTACACTTTTCTTAATAGGCTTTTGAGACATCAACTAATGAAGTTAAATGCTTTTATAAAATTTTCAAATGTTTCCATTTGATGTTGAAAACGTTGACTTTAACAAATGCATGCAAGACAGACGCAAGGAGTTATTGAGCAAGAAAGCTTATCAACAAAACACATATTTCGATAAACGAGAACTTCGAGCTTAACGATGCACTAATTCTTCCGAAGCTTGAGAATGAAATCTCACAAGATATGTAACAAATTTTTAAAGGAACATTGATAGAAGAGTCTAATCTCCCAAATATCCAATAGCCTGTGCTTTTCTAAATATGGAAGAATTTATTGCAAGAAGAACATTTGGTTAAGTCAGACTTTGGCACTGAAGCTGAAAGAACTAACATTGATAATGAATGTATCTTGAAAACTGATTTTGATATAAGTCCTCTTGAGGCATTGTTAGTTGCAAAAGCAATTCGTTCTATTATAAGACAAAAAATGGTAAGTGCTGCTGAAGACCCACTAGATATAAATGAATGAGAGATGGATTTTTCTCAAACTTCGAAACACCTTTATCCCATCAATTATCCAGTGAGAAATTCTGGAAATAGTACTGGAAAATCAGAAGATATTTCGAAGATACATTTACATTGGCCAAATATTGGGAAAAAAGAGGAAGATCAAATCAAAATAAAAAGAAATAAATTACCTTTTGCATTAACTTCAGAGAAAAGACGAAAATTTAAAGAGACTCAAAGAGCTGTAAAAAGAGTTAAGGCAAGAAAGTATGATGGAGAGAAAAAAATACTTAAAAAGATTAAAAAAAAGCTTAAAAAAATATGGGGAAAAGATTAAACGAAAACGCGATTAAATAATAGTAATAAAAAATCATCGGATTACACAATGATAAACATTCATGATTTAGACTCGACTATTAAACTGTGAGAAAGAAAATTAAAGAAAATTACTTTTATTCGGTATTCAACCCCATTTTACTCTCCATTTTATGAATGAAAAAAAAAAGTAAAATTTTCCACGTTAGCTGTGGTTAGATGTTATAATTTCAAGAAAAAATCCTTGTTGTTAGACATTTGTATGGCCTATGAATTCCAAAAGAGCATCAAAAATTCTGAAAATTAAGTGTTCATTCACTGGAAAATTTAGAGTTCATTCACTGGTGAGAACTGTTTCTTCACTTGGTTATCTTATTACATATTAATAGAACCACCAAAAACTTAAAACAATATTATGTAAGCTCTCTAAATTTTTTTACGTAATTTGCATTTAATAACAAATATGTTTTGCACTGCCATTTAGCTAAAATTACCAAATTTTGAAATTTTTGTGATTTTTTTAAAGGCAAGCTAAGCTTAAGTGTTCCTTCACTGGTTAGTTTACCCTACCTACAAATGTTGATTTTTTTAAAAATTTACTAAACTCTTGTTGTGAATAATTTATTTCGGTATTATGGCTTAATGATAAAAAATGCCTTGTAAGGTGAATAAAATATTTTGAGCCATATTGAGTCATTGTAAGGGTCTCATTATTTTAAGATAAAAATTTTTAGTTACTGTCGTAGCAGAATAAAATAAAAAAAAACTGACCACATGAAGGAACTCTTTCAGAAACGATGCAAATAAAATGCATTTGTAGTATATGTAGAGGTTTAATATAAGTTAGAATCACTTGATCCTCAATTTACCTCAAATTTACATATTATAACATGTATTAAATACGATCAATAAGATATTTCTTTTCCTTCGGAATATCCCTAACCCTCCCGGTACTAGTTCTAATGAAGAAAAGCACCATTGTTACACGAATGTACAGTAAGCGAAAGAAAAAAAAGAGAATTGGTCCACCCTGAATAACTTTTGATATAATGATCGGATCTTTACGATCCAGGACTCAGTTTTAATGGTTTATAGGGTTGTACTCAAATATGCCAATTAATTAGTGCAGACTTCATTTTAAGTAACAGAATCAGACAAAAGACACAAAAACGTACTTTTTCTGAATAAACAGACCTTTTTTTGACGGATACGTATTTCTGATATATAGGAAGTAGCCGCAATCTGAGAAACATGGGCTCCATAGTTTTGTCAGGAGAGCGATCGAAAGTTTGAACCTCTTAATGTTTATTTAACTCTTTGCGTATTTCACTATAACTCGAAAACTTCTTAAGCAAATTGAAAAATTTTTGCACAAAATTATAAAATTTGTTTATCTTAAGACCATTTCATGCGAAAAATAAATTTTAGTAAATATTTATGAATTTTTATCTATTAATAGTTGAAAAAAGTTTGAATTGTTAGGTATACATTTTTTAAAATTATGTAATTTTACAAGACAAAATACAAAATTTGCGCAAAATCGGTTGAATAGTTCCCGAGAAATCAAATTTCAAATATACGACTTTTTTACTTTAAAATGATGTAAAAAATTGTAAACCTTACAACTCAAAATTTTTTCGACCATTATTGAAAAAACTACTAAAAGCTTATTCAATAAAATAATAAAAAATAACAAATATTTACTAAAAGTTATTTTCTGCATATCGTTATCTTTGGCTAAACTAATTTTATATTTGTGTTCAAAATTTTTTCAATACGCTTAAAACGTTCTCGAGATATGGAGAAATACGCGAGAAGTAAATTAACATTAAGGGGCCCAAACTTTGGATCGCTCTCCTGACCAAACTATGGTGACCCTATTTCCCGAATTGCGGCAACCCCCTATATTTTGGGATCAAAAATCCAATTCCATTGAAAAAAAGGTATGTTTATTCAGAGAAAGTGCGTGTTTGTGTCTGATTTCGTAACTTAAGATATCATCTGCACTGATTAATTAGCATATTTGAAGTCACTCCTGAAACATTAAGATTGAGTGTTATAACGTGAAGATCCGATCATTAGATCAAAAGTTATTCGCGGTGGTACGTTTTTTTTTGACTTACCATACAATGGGTCAAATATAATTTTCCGTCAAAATATTTAAAAAAAAATTAATGTATATAATTAAGGATTTGTACTCAAGGAACGAATATCCAATGTGTTGACTTTTTACCGCTCAATCTATTTCACTGTGATTCTGAACGCGAATCCTAAACTTACTGACAATAAATAAATAAACAGAAATCCTCTTCAATCTCAAAATTAAAATAATACAAAATTTTTATTGCTTATTAATGCTTCTATAATTGCTATAATTGCTTATTAATTACATAATTGCTTATTAATTATAATTTTAAACTTCTGAGAATGTTACCCAGAATTTCTCAATTTTTGACTCTATTCCTCTTCTGCACACACAAATCCACTCCTTTTCTCCCATATTTTAATTTTGTTTTTTCCTCTATACACTCCATGCTCAATAGGTATATAGGGGAAAAATTCTTTTCAAACTTGACTAGATGCCAACAGTTCCAAGGCTATATCCCATTTTTTTTAAAACAGTTCAATGGTTTTTTAATTAACAAAATTCGATTTCATTTACATTTTTTTTAAAAAAGGAAAAAAAGTAAATTTTTTAAATAATTTTTAAAAGTAAGTAATTATTATTTTTTTTAAAAATACAATTAAAGTTAAATGAAAAAAATGTCTAAAAATTGTATTTTACTGACCTGTGGCATCTCTAACTCTGGCGATTTTGTATAGCTCGTCGTGTAACCTGGCGTTCTCTTCTATATGCTGCCTTCGTCTCGCTATTTCTGCTTTAATCTTCGCTTTCTTCTCTTCCCTCTCGTCTTCGTCTTCTGAGACATAAGGTGACGGGTGCCATGACCGTGGTTTCCTCAGGTGGTGGTGGCGCTGCGCCATGCTGTACCCACCCGTTGTCCGGCCATAGGGGTCTAAACCCATGCCGAAAGACATTAAACCCGTGTCGGTGTGTCGACGTAGCCTACGAAAGACAAAGTTGAAAACAAACGTCAAATTAATTTCTAAACATAATTTTATATAAATTAATTTGATATAACTTGGAAATGTAACTGTTATGCTTAACAATTAAATTGTCAAGTTACGTCAAATCAACTGTTGAACACAATTTTTGTTCAAAATGGTTTATTCTGTTAAGTTGGATCATTTTGAGACATATTCAGATGTCATTAAGGAACTTTTCTATTCACTGTGAAACTTCAATCTGTTATAACTTCAAAGAATGGTAGCAAAAACAGTTCTTTTTGTGCCGTAAGAATGCTTGGTGTATATTTGATACTTTAGTAGCATTAAAGTTTATAATGACTAGATAAGAGTTATTTTTACAAAATAATTAAAAGTACGAGCAGAAACTTTAGAGCAATATCTCCCCGAATGTGATGTTGAATATTCAAAAATAAAAAATTGCGTAAAGAAACACTTTACAACACATTCAACTTTCATATACAATTTAAAGGGCTTATGTTAGCAGTAAACACCTAAAATGGAAGATATTGTGCCTACAGGCATGCACACCATACGTATATTATTTCCGCTTCCTGAAACACTATTTCAACACACCATTATCACCAGTAATATGTTGACAATCGCGTGCGAGTTTGTTTTTTTCCACGCTGTTGTTTTCTCCGTAATTCCGTAAATAATCTACTCCACTTTTGTGCCATTTAATCGAGAAGAGGTAAATACATTCAAGTTGAAGACCAGGTAGAACCACGAAACGTGAATCTGTTTGGGCAGACAAATTGGCCACCGCAGGTGACTTGTAAAAAGATTTATACACCTTCTATCTGCAATTAAATAATAATACGGACGATTCAATGCAATGTTGCCGAATGCAGCAAAATAAGCTTGGAGTCGCGAAACGGTGAGTCCTTGCAAGTAAAGGACAATGTGGATCTGCGGAGAGATGCATTTGTTAAGACTGACCAGCTAGTTCTCACAAGCGGCTAGTCTTCAAGAAATCTCTAAATCATACGATTTGAAAAATTATATGATATCCCATAATTTGAAAAAACATAATCTCTAATGATGTATCCTAATAATACTATTTAATAATAAATTTTAAATCTTTACTATTTAATTATCTGTCACATTAAAATATTTCTTATATAGCGTCCGAAGGAGAAAAATACTTATGACGAAGTGTCTCAGAGAACTTTATAATTCCCAGGTAAAATATAACGATTTATAAATGAAACATAATTATTTACAAATAAAATGTAGCTTTTCACTGATAAAAAGTGATTTATATTCATAGATAAAATGAAATTATTCACTGATAGAACGTAACTATTCCCAGATAAAATGTAACTATTTCTAGATATAATATAACTATTACTATTCACAGATAAAATGTAACTATTCGCTGATAAAATATAATTATTCCCAGATAAAAGAAAACTATTCACATATAAAATGTTACTATTCGCAGATAAAATGTAATTCGCAAATAAAATGTAATTAGCCGAAGATAGAATGAAACTATTCTCAGATAAAATGTAGCATTATATAAAATTTGAGGAAACATATTGTAGAATATGTTTATAAAAGTTGTGTGAACAAGACAAAAATTGTTGTCTCAGTGATATTGAAAATAATACAAAAAAATTATCTGAATAATTTTTTTCAAAAAGAAGCATTTTCTCTAAAGACGAAAAAAGAAAAAGAAGATCCATTTTGAAAAAGTTTAAAAAGAGTTTTGTGGATCTTCCTTCATTTACCGATTGGTATCTGTTTGATCGATACGGAATGTCATAAATAGAAACAGAGACTCCGTTGCTAAGTTTCCCGCAACGGACATTCATTTTTTGAAAGGAATATTTTGTAATTTAATAAGAATAAATTGCTCACTTGCATTCATGAATAGAGTGCACTCCACGTTGACAGACTTTGCTTTAGATTAAAATAATTGAACTCAAAGCAGCACACATATTGATAACTTTTTTGTAAAGACATATAAAAAAGTTTAAAAAATACTTGTGTTAGAAAAGAACACAATTAATCTCTAATGGAATGAATATTAGAAATAACCATTTAGTGTTCACCATAATATCTGATTTAATAAGGCAGTTCTCTTGAAGTATAAGTGAACAAATAGTGCACTCTTGTTTATGAGTGCTTCAAAAGAATTTATGCTTCATTTTGTGTTCATATATGGAGAAAGGTTCTTGGTTATAAAACCGAAAGTATTAGCACAAATAATAGTTCATTCTTTGTACAATTATTTGTGTTTCACGTCCACTTCCTGATTTGTTGAAATAGCCGCCATACTCACCGGACTTTTTCTTATTTATTTAAATCAAGCCTACGTTCAAAAAGACTATGTAATGATAGCAAAAGTGATTGAGTAGGTTATTTTGTTTTCTGAGATCTTATGACTTGAATAAAAGAAATATATGGAATAGAAGATGGGATAAGGATAGAGGTATATAAAAGGAAATGACGTTATAATGAGTTGCTTTTTGAATAATATATCTCTATCCGACTAAATAATTCTCTCACCTATACAATTTTCTTCTGATTTTTTCCCTAATGAAATCAAGTTTGATAGTAAGTGGACCTTTTAATTCAAAGAAATTTCTTAATATATTTTGAAGTGGTATTGCATTGTGTGTAATTGTTATTTAAAATAATTATATTATTACATACTAAGTAATACTATTATCATTATATAATAAAAACAATAATTATAATATTCTTATACTATTATACTATTATGTAGTTTAGGAACCTCTATTCTCCTTACAGCATGAGGAAAGAATTCATTCTCTAACTATTCTAAATATACACTAAAATGCATCTGTCTCTGAGAAAAGTGTATGAATTGCACTAAAACTATTATGTAATTTATAAACCTCTATTCTCCCAACAACATGGCAAAACAATGTATTCTCTAATTTTTCAGGAAAGTGTATGCACTGTACTAATACTATTATGTAGTTTACGAACCTCTATTCTCCCTACAACATGATGAAACAATGCATTCTCTAATTATTCTAAATATACACTAAAATGCATCTGTCTTCGAGAAAAGTGTATGAATTGCACTAAAACTATTATGTAGTTTATAAACCTCTATTCTCCCAACAACATAGCAAAACAATGTATTCTCTAATTTTTCAGGAAAGTGTATGCATTGTACTAATACTATTATGCAGTTTACGAGTCTCTATTCTCCATAAAACATGATAAAACAATGCATTCTCTAATTATTCTAAATATACACTAAAATGCATATGTCTTCGAGAAAAGTGTATGCATTGTACTAAACCTATTATGCAGTTTACGAACCTCAACGTAGTGAAGCAGGGCTTTCTCTAGTTCTAAATATACAAGAAAAAAAGCGTTTTTGTTTTGAGAAAAGTGTATGTAGTTTTCGAATCTCTATTTTGATTTCCGTTTGAAAATTTGAGCTTTTTTTCTTCACTAATTTTGCACTTAAAAAGCCACATATTTATTTACTTAAAATTATTGCAACCACTAAAATTGAACTTATTTCATCAGAAAAAAATTATTTTAAATATAAGATCTAATTCTAGGTGATTTATTCTTTTTTTTAAAAAGCGTTATTATTTTAGTAAAAATGAATACCTTTCCGTATGTTTTAGCGCATAATTAGAAATAAAATGAAGAATTCGAATCTCTGATTTCATAATTTTCAGATTAGGGAGCATTGAAAATACTCATAACCATAATAATACAAAATGAGTTTCAAACCTGGAACATCAAAATTTAATGGTCTATAAATCAGAGGAATTTGAATTTTCTCCAGATCAATGGCAATTGTTTTAAGTGCATTCACCGTATCTGCAGTGTATTTTTGGTGGCAACTACTTGACACTAAATTAATGTAGTGAAACACCACAGATAACTTTTGGTTTTCTTGTTTTTCATCACACCAGGAACCAAGGATAGTTCCTAGTGTAGTTAAACATCAATATTTTTTTTTCTTTTAACACTATTTGGCGTAAAATAGCTACCACCATTTTTTTTACACGATAATACTAAAATGTATAATAACAGTAAGATATGATACTCATAGGAGTCGGTATTGTTATTTTTCCGATAAAATATAAAAGAACCATTCATCTAGGCCGCATATGCAATTTGAGCGAAACCGGTCGAATATTTCTTGAGAAATCGAATTTTAAGTATCTGACTGTTTTTAAATTCAATTTCTCAGAAACTATTCGACCGATTTCTGTATTTATTCATGTAAAATTATATTCTTTAAAATGATGTAAAAAATTACCTTACAGTTCAAAAATGTTCCGACCCTTCTTGAATAAAATAATGGAAAATAATAAATATTTACTAAAAGTTATTTTTTGCATGCAGTTATCTCCGGAAGTAAAATTTTTTCAGTTCCCTTGAAAAGTTCTTGAGATATAGTGAAATACGCAAAAAGTAAAATTAACATTAAGGGGTCCAAATTTCTCTCCTGACCAAACTATTCGAACCCTATTTTCCAGATTGTGTCTACTCCCCATATTTTGGTGGTCAGAAATCTGAATCTGTCGAAAAAAAGGTATGTTTATTCAGAGAAAGTATGTTTTTGTGTCTGATTTCGTACCTTAAAATATCTTCTGCCCTTATAAATTAGCATATTTGAGGCATCGAACCATTAAGATTGAGTCTTAGAACGTGAAGATCCGATCGTTAGAGCAAACGTTATTTGGGGTAGTCCCTTTTTTATGCTCACTGTACTTGGATCCAATCCCACCCTGCATATCAGTAATTTTCTTGATGATTTCGCTGTACTACATTTGTGGACGCTGTGATGAGAGGTCACTGCGACCTCTCCAAAAATGTTCATTATACGAGAAATTTTGTCATCAAATTTAGACAAATGAAACAGTTGACAGTTGAAAGCGTTGCAAATGGAACCATAAATTTTTTTTGTTTGTAATTTATGTAACAAAGAACATAATTTTTTTTCCTTCTTACAACTAATGAACTGTCCTT